GATCAGGCTGGTATTGCTCATTAGCTCATGTTAATAAATACATGAAACCTTATTGTAAAGTGTCACCTTTGTTTTTATGTTTGAAAAGCCACCATAGCATTTGCACTGAACCATCGACACTAATATGCATGAAACAACACCTAAATCCAATATTTACTATCAAACTCAAACATGATGATGTATGTAAAGTCAGTGCTGAAGTATAAAGATGACAGTTCAGCTGATGGTTAATGATTATTTTGTGGCCAAACTGTGTTCATGCTGGAATGAATGAATGAGCAAGCGGAAACTGATGCAAGTAAAGTCAACTTTCACTGCATGTTGAGAACATTTTTACAAGTAACGTTCATTCTAAATCTCGGACCTCATTCTTGAAACAAAAAAATGACCAATGAAATATGGTGAAGCACCAAAGGCGGCCCATATTAAAGTTACTTATAATACTTAATTGGCTATTTTTATTATCCATGATTTTTCCAAATGTACTTTTTAACAAGAGAGGCTAGAAACACTGTAAAGCTCTGCGTTAATATTATTCATTTTTTTATTATTCAAATGCCCAAATTCTGACTGAGGAAAGTTGAATGTGCTGGTCAGCTTGTTAATTGCCTAATAAATGATAATTGACCCTTCGTTAATCCACACCCGAAAACCGCCACACACCAATCGTGTCTTAGCAACCGTAGCTATGCAGGAGGTCTGTCAAGCTTTCGAGTGAGGGAAACAAGCCAAATCGTTATGCATACGGATTATGCAAATCTGATACCCGGTATCCTAAAAGTTTGGACGGGGCTTAGCGAAGGGTCAATTGGCTTTAGTTATTTATTTAAAACTTTAACAGATTCCTATTCCCCCCCCCTCCAGTAATAAATAATGTAATGCATTTGTATTTTAAATAGATTTAATTTTGTATTATAAAGCTTTAGAAAATGTTTTTAATACATTGACAAGTGTGACCATCTGACAATCTAATCCAGCAAAAAAAGTGCTTAATGTCACTAAAACGCAGTATTTAAACATTATAATTAAATAGAAAATGAGTCGAATAACTGCAAAAAAGTCCTGCCCTTTCTCCAGGCTGGCTACAGGCCTGATACTGTATTAATAAAGTGTTTAATCCTTTAAAAACACTGTTCATACAATGAGCCACTAAACATTGTACTCATGGTGTTATTCAACTGGAGGAAAATGCAAAAAACCCTTCAGATATAGTCTGTGTTAGTAAAAGCGAGACTATTGATGAACTCCAGCATTACACTGTATGACATCGCTTCAGATGACTGTTCTAGAGCCTACAGCTAATCAATCTGTCAGATTCTGGAGTGCATTACAGATCTGAAGAACATAAATAATCCTAAATTAAACAAATATATTTACTGAGATGGTATACAAGTATATAACTTCACTCACCTGGGAAATGGGGGCACATGAATGGTTTGTGAGCACAATTAAGTGCACACAGCATGCCATATCATCTGATAATTGTAGGAAATTGTAGGCAAATGACTGTGAAGCGTACATAAAACAACACAAAAATATGATATATATATATATATATATATATATATATATATATATATATATATATATATATATATATATATGCAGTGTTCAGCAGCTAATCAGCCGGAATCAGCTGAGGTGAAGTTACTGCGACCAGCGAGACCTAGCTGTCACTCAAGTGGCCACGCCCTTAATTATGCAGACTTAATATAACCTAATATAAAGGAAACGGATCAGTTATAAAAAAAATTCACCCCCGTCACAGTTGTTATGAACAGTAATATTAGCTATGTGCACCAAAATCTGTTCTTTTTAGCAGGCTGTAAACACCGTTATGTCTGCTGTAAAGTCTGCCATTGTAACAGAGCTCTAGAAATGTGCTCTGTTTTGGAGCCAGCACTAGTGGAATTTTGATGAATTGCAGTTTCCGCTTCAGGAGGGAGAGTGGGATGTTGCCGCTTGATTTCAACATTCAATTAACTTTAAATAAGTCTTCTTTCGGGCGAGGTAGTGGCGCAGTAGGTAGTGCTGTCACCTTACAGCAAGAAAGTTGCTGGTTCGAACCTCGGCTCAGTTGGCGTTTCTGTGTGGAGTTTGCATGTTCTCCCTGCGATCGTGTGGGTTTCCTCCGGGTGCTCCGGTTTCCCCCACAGTCCAAATACATGCGGTACAGGTGAATTGGGTAGGCTAATTGTCCGTAGTGTATGTGTGGATGTTTCCCAGAGATGGGTTGCGGCTGGAAGGGCATCCGCTGCGTAAAAACTTGCTGGATAAGTTGGTGGTTCATTCTGCTGTGGCGACCCTGGATTAATAAAGGGACTAAGCAGACAAGAAAATGAATGATAAGTCTTCTTTCTTTCTTTAACACAGGGGTCACCAAACTTGTTCCTGGAGGGCCGGTGTCCTGCAGATTTTAGCTCCAACCCTAATCAAACACACCTGAACAAGCTAATCAAGGTGTTACTTTGTATACTTGAAACACCCAGGCAGGTGTGTTGAGGCAAGTTAGAGCTAAACCCTGCAGGGACACCGGCCCTCCTGGACCGGGATTGGTGACCCCTGGTTTAAAAGCTCTAATTTCAACATGTACTACAAGTCCTTTCATAAACGAATCCGTTTCACAAACGACACAGCCAAAACACTCTGGCAATTATTTGGAAATGCTTTGTCCCATGAGTTTAATTTTCAATCTGCGTTTCCTGCATGCAGAAACCGATCCCATCACAACCCAGCAAAGTGTTTTCATCCATTACTGCAAAAAGCTCCAAACTCTTTCTCTCCCTTTTTCCTCTCCAGGGAAATATGAACTCCTCGAAAGTGAATCAGAAGCCAAGCCTTCGAGCAAGAGGATTAGTGCCCTGAAGATCTTCTACGTCATCGGCTTTGTATCAGCGTTCACCTTCATCGCCTTCATTTATTTCCAAGACTTCGCCCAGAATGCAAGCTGGCAAACCTACGAACCCAAGCCCACAGACGCTCCCCCAACAAACCGAACATTCCTCGAGGAAGCACCTACGGCCTGCGGTGTTATAATAAACGAAGGGCCTATGATTAAAGTGGGCGATCTAAACACATACGTGACCGGCTCTTATATGGACCACCGTTTCCGGGAGGTTAAATCAATTGCGATTGTTAATCGGCAACAATTAGTGACGTATTCATGCGTGCTATGCTGTAATGGGAAAAACGTGACCACGTTAGCGCATTACGCTATTCATTCAGACCACTTCGGTTTTGAATACGGCACAGCCACTATTGCATGCCCATTAAATGACGAGTGTTTAAAACCAACGCATGTTGCTTTAACATCATCAGCCAATCACTCTGAAAGCATCACATCATTCCAAAGCATCATGAATAGAGACGTTCCTGCGGCATTCCCACATCAGTTCACCGTCTGCATCTCTGTCATGTACGACTATACGAACGTTCTCAATCTAGTTGAAGCAATGGAGATGTTTCGACTTCTCGGCGCAACAAGAGTTGCGATATATCGAACGAACTGCGATTCGAACGTGCAGAAGGTTTTGGATTATTACGTAGAGCGAGGATTCGTCGAAGTCATCCCGTGGACTATTAAAAAACACGTCCAAGTGTCTAGAGGATGGAGGAAGGACGTATCAGGAGGCGAGCTGCACTATTACGGACAGATTCCTGCACTGAACGACTGCGTTTATCGATATATGTACCAAAGCCGATATGTGGCTCTACATGACATGGATGAACTCATTTTACCTTTCGGTGTGAAAACGTGGACGGAGATGTTGCCGAATTTGGAGAAAATGTACGGGACTACCTTTGGGTTTGAGTTCGAGAACAACCAATTCCCTTTCACATCTAAAGCCAATAGGAGATATGATGTAAACGATTGGGAGAGCGTACGGGGAACTAATATACTGAAATACATCCAGCGAGTGCCCAATGATCCCAACGCTTTTAATAATTTTAAGGTGATTGTGAACCCGCGGCTGGTTCTGATGGCTACTGTACATGGCTTGCTGGATACTGTGAATGTCGGTAAGCACACGGTCAGGGTAAACAGAAATGTCGCTCGAATGTACCACAGTAAAAACTTAACATATCCGCTGAACACAAATCTCATCCCCGATAATCATCTCTGGGATTATGCGGATGAGCTGATACCTGCGGTTACTAAAGTTTTACAGGACTGTGGGTTCATTACGGGTTAGGCTTTACTGCACTGAGGTGTTGCTGTCAAAGATTATTAATAAAATACGATGTCAAAACAGTAAACGCGTGTTCTGATGATGGCATTCAGAGGAAGCAGAAGTGGGTGTCGAATATTGAGTGCATTTGGGCTCATCTGTTTTATCAAGCATCTCTGGCTCATTTTGTATTATTATTCTGGTTTCCGAGTTATTTTTCCCTGTAGAGTTTTTGAAAAGGTTTTGGTTAATGCATTATAAGCCATCAACATACCGACCAACCAACCAACCAGCTATGACCGAATCAAACAACATTAGAAAAAATAACGAATAAATAAATAATCATGTAAAGATGTCTAAAAGACAGAGATTATATATATATATATACACACACACCGGCCACTTTATTAGGTACACCTGCCGAACTGCTTGTTAACTCATATTTCTGATCAGCCAATCACATGGCAGCAACTCAATGCATTTAGGCATGTAGACATGGTCAAGATGATCTGCAGCAGTTCAAACCGAGCATCAGAATGGGAAAGAAAGGGGATTTAAGAGTCTTTGAACGTGGCATGGTTGTTGGTGTCAGACAGGCTGCTCTGAGTATTTCAGAAAATCCAGTGAGCGGCAGTTCTGTGGGCGCAAATGCCTTGTTGATGAGGTCAGAGGAGAATGGCCAGACTGGTTCTAGCTGATAGAAAGGCAACAGTAACTCGAATAAGCACTCGTTACAACCGAGAGCATCTCTGAACACACAACACGTCCAACCTTGAGGCAGATGGGCTACAGCAGCAGAAGAGCACACCGGCTGCCGCTCCTGTCAGCTAAGAACAGGAAACTGAGGCTACAATTCACACAGACTCACCAAAACTGGACAATAGAAGATTGGAGAAACGTTGCTGCTCTGATGAGTCTCCATTTCTGCTGACACATTCAGATGCTCGGGTCAGAATTTGGCCTCAACAACATGAAAGCATGGATCATCCTGCCTTGTATCAGCAGTTCAGGTGGTGGTGTAAGGGTGTGGGGGAGATTTTCTTGGCACATTTTGGGTCCATCAGTACCAGTTGTGTGATGCTATCATGTCAATATGGAGCAAAATCTCTGAGGAATATTTCCAGTACCTTGTTGAATCTCTGCCGTGAAGGATTAAGGCAGTTGTAAAAGCTAAAGGGAGTCCAACCCGATACAATTAAGGTGTACCTAATAAAGTGGCCGGTGAGTGTATACACTGTAAAAATATCAGTAAATGGGCAGTTTTCCATATTTTCTGATTCATGTTTTGGTTTTTTCCTGTTTAATTGTGCTTTTAAATTGCATTATGGGATCTTGATGTTTCCTCCAAGAACTTTTAACCTTGATAAGTGTGAAAAAGTGGCTTTTGTGAACATGTTTAATAGTCTGCAGTGCTATATTGTCTGGGTTGGTGTTGTATATTACGCTACACAAACCTCATAATAAACTGCAGCACATTTTCTGCTATTTTACAGACTTATTTCTCTCTCTTTATTTTTTTCAAACGACTAAAATGTCAATAAAAGTCATTTTGTTAAACTGCCTAGTTAAATTATTAACATCAAAAGTCGACAGAGCAGAGATCAACATCCCATAATGCAATTACCAACCGTAAATAAACCGAAACAACTTGAGAATTACATCTTATATATATATATATATATATATATATATATATATATATATATATATATATATATATATATATATATATATATACACACACACACACACACACAGTTGAAGTCAGAATTATTAACCCCCCTGAATTATTAGCGCCCGCTTATTTTCTTTCCCCAATTTCTGTTTAATAAAGGGAAGATTGTTTCAACACATTTCTAAACATAATAGTTTTAAAAACTCATCTCTAATAACTGATTTATTTTCTCTTTGCCATGATGACTGTAAATAATAGATGTTTTTCAAGACACTTCTATACAGCTTAAAGTCACATTTAAAGGCTTTACTAGGTTAAATTAGGTTAACTAGGCAGGTTAGGGTAATTAGGCGAGTTATTCTATACCGATGGTTTGTTCTGTAGACTATTGAAAAAAAAATAGCTTAAAGGGGCTAATAATTTTGTCCCAAAATAGTTTTAAAAAAATTCAAAACTGCTTTTATTCAAGCCGAAAGAGACTTTTTCTAGAAAAAAAAATATTATCAGACATACTGTGAAAATTTCCTGAATCTGTCAAACATCATTTGGGAAATATTTAAAAAAGAAAAAAAAATCAAAAGGGGGCTAATAATTCTGACTTCAACTGTATATATATATATATATATATATATATATATATATATATATATATATATATATATATATATATATATATATATATATATACATATATACACACACACACACACACACATTTTTTAAAGTCCACATTAAGTCAAAAGCTACAATGTTCATGTTGCTAGCGCACATTATTATAGCCTTAAAGAGTGAACTATTAATCCATGCAGGTTAATGCACTACAAAAATCTAAAGGTTAGTTAATTTGTAATCAAACCCGGAGCATGTTTTTATTTTCAGCTCTGAAACTTCAGCCCTTCTCTGATGATGATGAGTTTGCTGTGAATAAAAAGTGAGAGGTGAAGCACAAATAGCTGAAGATATGTCATGCTGAGATGGAAGTGGGTTTGAAGACGATGTTTGTTCACAGCTGCAAAAATAAAGAGGAAGATTTACAAAGCCGTTTCTCCTTCAGCGGTCAGTCAGTGAGTGGAAACTGAAAACAAACAGCGGAAGTTGTCAGCATTCTTCTAAATATCTTCTTTTGTGTTCAACAGAATAAAGAAACTCATGAAGGTTTTGAGGGAGAGTAAAAATTATGCCATTATTTACAAACCGGCGACACGGTGGCTCAGTGGTTAGCACTGTCATCTCACAACAGGAAGGTTGCTGGTTCGAGTCCTGGCTGGGCCACTTGGCATTTGTGTGTGTTGTTTGCATGTTCTCCCTGTGTTGGCGTGGGTTTCCTCCAGGTGCTCTGGTTTCCCCCACAGTCCAAACACATGCGCTATAATTTATCAACTAAATTGGCCGTAGTGTTTGAGAATGAGTGTGAATGAGAGTGTATGGGTGTTTCCTATTACTGGGTTGTGGCTGTAAGGGCATCTGATGTGTAAAATATGCTGGATAAGTTGGCGGTTCATTTCACTGTGGCGAACCCGTGATGAATAAAGGGACTAAGCTATAGGAAAATGAATGAGTGTTTATGTTTTATAAGTGTCTTTTCTAATGCTAAATACAAAAGAAGATAGTTTGAAGAATGCCGGAAACCTGTAACTACTGACTTCCATAGTTTTGAGGGAGAGTAAATAGTGAATAGTGAACCGTCCCTTTAAGATCAACAGTCAAGTTCCTGTAGACAAAGAGGCGTCTTTTTCCCCCTTCCTTCATTGTGATCTTGGTTGTGTTTTGGCTGTCATTTAGCTAAATCTAAATTCAGATGAGCAGTGGGAGGCTTTAAACTAATCCGGATCACCACTTTTTCAGTTTAATGATTTCTAAACATTGTATAAAACTATTTGGGCAAAACTATTATCCTCCTGTAGAACTGATATACGTTTAAAAGTAGCATCTTAAAGAATATCTAGTCAAACATTATGTCATCATGACAAAGAGAAAATTAACGAGTTATTAAAATTATTATGTTTAAAAATGAGTTGAATAAAATATAGTCTCTGTTAAACAGCACTCTGGAAATATAAAAAAGTTTAAATCCACAGATATAATAATAATAATAATAATAATTGTGACTGCAGCTGTGTATTCGTAATGTATATACAGTCACCGGCCACTTTATTAGGTACAATTTACTAGTAATGGGTTGGACCCCTTTTGCCTTGAGGACTGCCTAATTCATGGCGTAGATTCATCAAGCTACTGGAAATATTCCTCAGAGATTTTGCTCCATATTGTCATGATAGCATCACACAGTTGCTGCAGATTTGTCGGCTGCACATCCATGATGCCAATCTCCCGTTCCACCACATCCCAAAGCTGCTCTATTGGATTGAGCTCTGGTGACTGTGGAGACCATTTGAGTACAGTGAACTCATTGTCATGTTCAAGAAAGCAGTCTGAGATGATTCACGCTTTATGACATGCTGCGTTATCCTGCTGAAAGTAGCCATCAGAGGATGGAGACACTGTGCTCATAAAGGGATGGACATGGTCAGCAGCAATACTCAGGTAGGCTGTGGCGTTGATGCTCAATTGGTACTAATGAACCCAAAGAAAATCTCCCCCACACCATTACACCACCACCACCAGCCTGAACTGCTGATACAAGGCAGGATGATCCATGCTTTCATGATGTTGAGGCCAAATTCTGACCCGATCATCCGAATGTGTCAGCAGAAATGGAGACTCATCAGAGCAGCAACGTTTCTCCAATCTTCTATTGTCCAGTTTTGGTGAGTCTGTGTGAATTGTAGCCTCAGTTTCCTGTTCTTAGCTGACAGGAGCGGCACCCGGTGTGGTCTTCTGCTGCTGTAGCCCATCCGCCTCAAGGTTGGCCGTGTTGTGTGTTCAGAGATGCTCTTCTGCAGAGCTCGGTTGTAATGAGTGCTTATTTGAGTTACTGTTGCCTTTCTATCAGCTGAACCAGTCTGGCCATTCTCCTCTGACCTCTGGCATCAACAAGGCATTTGCGCCCACAGAACTGCCGCTCACTGGATATTTCCTCTGTTTCAGACCATTCTCTGTAAATCCTAGAGATGGTTGTGCGTGAAAATCCCAGTAGATCAGCAGTTTCTGAAATACTCAGAGCAGCCCGTCTGGCAGCAACAACCATGCCACGTTCAAAGTCACTTAAATCCCCTTTCTTTCCCATTCTGATGCTCGCTTTGAACTGCTGCAGATCGTCTTGACCATGTCTACATGCCTGAATGCGTTGAGATGCTGCCATGTGATTGGCTGATTAGAAATTTGCATTAAAGAGCAGTTAGACAGGTGTACCTAATAAAGTGGCCGGTGAGTGTACATATATTTATTATTAATATTAGTAACTTTTTTAGATTTTTTTCAACATTATTTCAGGAGAATATCATGTAAAACTAAATATAAACTTTTCTATGAATATGTGCATGAACAAACTGCTCTGTAAAAGTCTTCCCAATACATAAATGAAAAATAACAATAATAATTTTAAGAAAAAAAAACCCTTAAAGTTATGCATAGTATAAATCAGCAGTGTAATTAACGCTCGAGTGTTTATTTTAGATGCTTTCTATGACTATTCTGAAACAGACAAACACCTAATCTGTTCATAAGAGTTTTATTCAGAGTTGAAAACCTTGGACCTAATGTCCAGCACGTGTGTATGCACATGAATCTGTTCTTGTCTCCGTCCCAATACCCACAGCGGCGCTCTTTGCACTTGTTTGCTTTAATGACGTATATCCTGCATTTGGTCTGAGCGGTCATGTGGCTGTGAAGATGGAAAAAGTGGATCTGACCGAGCTCTGCCAGCGAGACACAGAGCTTCTTTTATACATTTGAGTAAATCTCTACACTTCAGTCCCGATTTGTGGTGCTTTTAATTAAGTGAATTGCGAGTTTTACTAAAGCTTCAATTATATAGGCGATCTCTTATTCAGTTTTCTCAATATCTCACTTTTATTTTTAGGACATGTGAAGTGTATCAGAACTACTGCAGGGCAAAGATGAACCCTGATTGATCGCACTTAAAATAAAACCTTTTTTATTTTACATAATATACATTTGAAGTCTGAATTATTCACCCTGGCGAGGCAGTGGCGCAGTAGGTAGTGCTGTCGCCTCACAGCAAGAAGGTCGCTGGTTCAAACCTCGGCTCAGTTGGCGTTTCTGTGTGGAGTTTGCATGTTCTCCCTGCCTTCGCGTGGGTTTCCTCCGGGTGCTCCGGTTTCCCCCACAGTCCAAACACATGCGGTACAGGTGAATTGGGTAGGCTAAATTGTCCGTAGTGTATGAGTGTGTGTGTGGATGTTTCCCAGAGATGGGTAAGGGCATCCGGTGCGTAAAAACTTGCTGGATAAGTTGGCGGTTCATTCCACTGTGGCGACCCCGGATTAATAAAGAGGCTAAGCCGACAAGAAAATGAATGAGTGAATGAGTGTTGCACGATATAACGTCACAGACAAAGCTGCAGTTATTCACTGTAGATGACTACCAACATCATTTCAGAAAGCAGCCTTGCGTTAGAAGCTCTTGGGAACATCCATTTATTTCATTTACAAATTATGAAACAAAAAATGCAATTGACCCTGAAATGCACGAGGCGAGTTCATCCTGCGAAATTCTGAAACGGTTGTGCAAGAAGGCAGTCCTGCATTAAGAGGGCAGCTCACCCAAAAACAGAAATTCTGTCATCATTTACTTGATTCAAACTTTTAAGAGTGTCTTTTCTTATGCTAAACACAAAAGAAGAAGGTTTGAAGTATGCTGGAGATCTGTAACTATTGATTTCCATAGTATTTGTTTTTACTAAGGAAGTCAATGGTTACAGGTTTACATTTTTCAAAATATCTTCTTGTGTTCAATAAAGCAAAATTAGTTTGATGGAGAGTAAAACTTTGTCTTTGTTCACTCATTCTTCAATAATTTTAAAACATTATGAGTGTATTTTCTTAGGCTAAACACAAAATACAATATTTTGAAGAATGCCATAAACCTGTAACCATTGACTTCAATAGTATTTGTTTTTACTATGGAAGTCAGTGGTTACAGGTTTTCAGAATTCTTCAAAATATTTTTATAAGCAGATAGTTTGAGGAATGCTGGAAACCTGTAACCATTGACCTCAATAGTATTAGTTATGCAAGTCAATGGTTACAGTTTCTTCAATATCTTCTTGTGTTTAACAGAAAAAATTTTTATTATAAAGGTTTGAGGGAGAGTAAAAATCCTGACATGGTTGACTTGACGTGTTTCAGACATTATTTATGAGTGTCTTTTCTTATGCTAAACACACTTTGAAAGTTGAAGAATGTTACAAAAATGTTACAGCTTTTCAGCATTCCTCAAAATATTTTTAAAAGATAGTTTGAAGAATGCTGGAAACCAGTAACCAATCACTTCAATCGTATTTGTTTTTACTATGGAAGTCAATGGTTACAGGTTTTCAGCATTCTTCAAAATATCTTCTTGTGTGTTCAAGAAAAGCATGAAAATTATTAAGGTTTGAGGGAGAGTAAATTACTTTCTTTTTTTACTCATCCTAATTTCAAATCTTTATGAGTGTCTTTTCTAATGCTAAACACAAAAGAAGATAGTTTGAAGAATGCTGGAAACCTGTAACCATTGACTTCAATTGTATTAGTTTTTAACTGTGTAAGTCAACGGCTACCGGTTTTCAGGTTTGAGGGACAGTGAAATCTCTGACATTGTTTACTCGTCCTTGTTTCAAACCTTCATGAGTGTCCTTTCTTATGCTAAACACAAAAGAAGATAGTTTGAAGAATGACAGAAATCTGTAACCATAGAATTCCATTGAATATGTTTTTACTAGGGAAGTCAATGGTTACAGGTTTTCAGCATTTTTCAAAATATTTTATAAGATAGTTTGAAGAATACTGAAAACCTGTAACCATTAACTTTAATAGTATTAATTTTTATGGAAGTCAATGGTTACAGGCTTTCAGCATTCTTCAAATCTTCTCCTTTGTTCAACAAAAATAAAGGAACTTATAAAGGTTTGAGGGAGAGTACAAATTCTGTCATTGTTTACTTGTCCTTCACTTGTTTTAAATCTTTATTTGTGTCTTTTATTATGCTTAACACAAAAGAAGATAGTTTGAAGAATGGCAAAAACTTGTAACCATTGACTTCCATAGTATTGTTTTTTACTATGCAAGTCAATGGTTACATGTTTTCAGCATTCTTCAAAATATCTTCTTGTGTGTTCAATGGAAGAAAGAGATTTATAAAGGTTTGAGAGTAAAAATGTAAAAAAAAAACAAAAAAAACAAGTAGAAACCTGTAACCATTGACTTCAACAGTATTTGTTTTTACTATGGAAATCAATGGTTACAGGTTTTCAGCATTCTTCAAAGTATCTTCTTGTGTTTTCAATGGAAGAAAGATTCATAAAGGTGTGAGAGTAAAAATGTAAAAAAACAAAAACAAACAAAAAAAAACAAGTAGAAACCTGTAACCATTGACTTTAATAGTATTTGTTTTTACTATGGAAGTCAATGGTTACAGGTTTTTAGCATTCTTCAAAATATCTTCTTGTGTTTTCAATGGAAGAAAGAGATTTATAAAGGTTTGAGAGTAAAAATGTAAAAAAAAAAAAACAAGTAGAAACCTGTAACCATTGACTTCAATAGTATTTGTTTTTACTATGGAAATCAATGGTTACAGGTTTTCAGCATTCTTCAAAGTATCTTTTTTTGTGATCAACAGAATAAAAGAACTTATAAAGGTTTGAGAAAGAGTAAAAATTGTCATTGTCTACCCATTATTTACTTGTTAAACATAAAAGAAGTTAGTTTGAAGAAAGCTAAAAACCTGTAACCATTGACTTCAATAGTATTTGTTTTTCATGTAAGCCAATGGTTAGAGTTTTTCAGCATTCTTCAAAGTATTTTCTATTCAACAGAATAAAAAGAGCTCATAAGAGTTTGAAGGAGAGTAAATAGAGAGTACATTTTCACATTTAGGGGTGAACTTTCCACTTTAAGCTCTATTCTTCTATGCATCTGTTAGTCTGGCAACAAACACAGCGCGCTTTAATATGGATTAAAAATAAATCATCACACAGAGGCGCTTTCATTTGGTTTGAGTCACCAAAAACATTCCCATCCATGGCCTGGCACAGTCCCAGCATCTGAACAACGCCGTCGCATAAACATACAAAACAAATCAACAATTACACTGTACATCATACAAAACAGAAATGTACAAACCCAAAACATACAAAAAGACGGCAGGGCGAGTCGAGTTCAGATAGAGACATTGTGCTCTCAGCGCGTGTCCGTTGGTTTGTTCTCTGTGTATGTGTGTGTCTGAATGTGTGCGTGGGTGCATGTGTGTGCTGATGAGGAGTTGCTTGTTCATGACCTTGACTCCTCTACCTGACCAGGTGAAAGGTCAGCCAGTACATGAAGACAGGCTGAGCTGCAGCGATGGCCATGGTCAGGTACATCCGCAGCTGGTTTTTGGTTCCTCTCACTAAGCGTCCCTCTGCCGCCGCTTCAGAGAGGATCTTTAACCGCAGCGTACGAATCTGAAACCAAAAACACACGAGCATCAGGGGCCTGTACTGCCAAGCTGGATTAGCTGTTAGTTTCAGTGCATAACATCACTTTCTATTCCAGTTTAAGGAACAGCAAATATAAGTTGACTTCCAGTTGATCGTTTGGTATCAGACATGTCTCATATGAAAGGCCTCTAGGTTTTGCTTATTTGAGCTCAATAAAATATGATCATGTCTTGATTATTAATGATTGCATTAGGACAGTAAGCTCTGACTCTGCTCATCACTGAACAGAAATAATGTCCAGTATAGAATATAAAGTCCTGCTGCAGTGGAGACAGAATGAATATTGTGTCTGACTCCATCATGAGCTTGGAGGACTGCATCCATACATCTCTGACATGACTCACATCACTGATTAATAAAGTCATCTGGAACGGCAAAGTCAAATACATGTTATGTGTTTCCTCAATTTATTTAACAACAACACAAAAATGTACATCTTATTTTAAGTAGTGAGTTTTTCTTTGTGTTGTAGATGCCTCTGTTGTGGTTCTCTGCTCTCCGTCTCTTTCCTCTGTCTCTCCGACAGGTTTCATGGGCTGTTTCTCAATATGCGTTCTTCAGCGTTCTCGTGTCCTTGTGTAACGTCACTATCAGCTCCCAATGTTTAGTTCCAATACTCAGGATACTTGATATTTTTCACTATGGAAGTCAATGGTTACAGGTTTTCAGCATTTTTCTAAATATTTTATAAGATAGTTTAAATAATACTGGAAACCTGTAACCATTGACTTCCATAGTATTAGTTTTATAGTATGGGAGTCAATGGCTACAGTTTTTCAGCATTCTTCAAATCTGCTTGTGTGTTCAACAAAATAAAGGAACTTAGGTTTGAGGAAAGGTTTGAGGGAGAGTACAAATTCTGTCATTGCTTGCTTGTTTCAAATCTTCATGAGTGTCTTTTATTTTGCTTAACACAAAGGAAGATAGTTTAAAGAATGGCAGAAACCTGTAACTATTGACTTTCATAGTATTTGTTTTTACTATGGAAGTCAATGGTTACAGGTTTTAAGCATTTTTCTAAATATTCTATAAGATAGTTTAAAGAATACTGGAAACCTGTAACCGTTGACTTCAATAGTATTAGTTTTATGGAAGTCAATGGTTACAGGTTTTCAGCATTTTTCAAAATATTTTTAAGAAGAATACTAGAAACCTGTAAGTATTGTTTTCAATTGTATTTGTTTTAATGGAAGTCAATGGTTACAGGTTTTCAGCATTCTTCAAAATATTTTTAAGATAGTTTGAAGAATACTGAAAACCTGTAACCATTGACTTCAATAATATTAGTTTTTATGGAAGTCAATGGTTACAGGTTTTCACCATTCTTCAAAATATCTTCTTGTGTGTTCAATGGAAGAAATAGATTTATAAAGGTTTGAGGGAGATTACAAATGTGAAAAAAAGTAGAAACCTGTAACCATTGACTTCAATAGTATTTGTTTTTACTATGGAAGTCAACGGTTACAGTTTTTCAGCATTCTTCAAATCTTCTCCTTTGTTCAACAAAAATAAAGGAACTTATAAAGGTTTGAGGGAGAGTACAAATTCTGTCATTGTTTACTTGTCCTTCACTTGTTTCAAATCTTCATGAGTGTCTTTTATTATGCTTAACACAAAGGAAGATAGTTTAAAGAATGGCAGAAATCTGTAACCATTGACTTCAATAGTATTTGTTTTTACTATGGAAGTTAATGTTTACAGGTTTTCAGCATTCTTCCAAATATTTTATAAGATAGTTTGAAGAATTCTGGAAACCTGTAACCATTGACTTCAATAGTATTAGTTTTTATGGAAGTCAATGGTTACAGGTTTTCAGCATTCTTCAAAATATCTTCTTGTGTGTTCAATGCAAGAAAAAGATTTATAAAGGTTTGAGGGAGAGTACAAATGTAAAAAAAAAAAAATTAGAAACCTGTAACCATTGACTTCGAGCTTTTTTATGTCTGCTTTGAGGTTAAATGTCAAATACATTCAACTTAACGTTATTTCTTTGGTCAGTCGCCTTTGTTGTTGTTTTTCCTTTTGAACGGGAGATGAGACTCAGGCTTCCTCATTAATTTAGAGGTGTCCTAATTATTTTACTTTAATATTATTTATTGTTACGGGTCTGGCTTCTGTGTGGAGCCATGCAAAGTTCCATAACGTAACAGCAAAGAAAGCATTCTTGCAGGACTCCAAGAGTTCTTTGTGTTCATCTTCAACGCCTCTTTCTTCAGTCTACCCCAGACATGCTCAATAATGTTCATGTCTGGTGACTGGGCTGGCCAATCCTGGAGCACCTTGACCTTTGCTTACAGGAGCTTTGATGTGGAGGCTGAAGTATAAGAAGAAGCGCTATCCTGCTGGAGAATTGTCCCTCTCCTGTGGTTTGTAATGTAATGGGCAGCACAGATGTCTTGATACCTCAGGCTGTTGATGTTGATCATCCACTCTGCAGATCTCTCGCACTGAATGGAACCCCAAACCATGATTTCTCCTTCACCAAACTTGACTGATTTCTGTAAGAATCTAAAGTCCATGCTGGTTTTCTGCAGTATTTGTGATGATAAGAAGGCAGTTCAGCAGTTGATGTATTGGAAAATTGGCATTTGTGTGAGACTCATCATATCAGAAAGGCTTGAATAAACTCACAAATACAACAAATAAACGTACTTGGTGTTTTTGACTGATGACCTGTATTTCAGCTTCATCTGTCACTGACTGCTGTTTATCTGACGTAACACATGATGAGAAACACACACGCACGTGGGAACAGTGGGTGGGGAGAAGCAGCTCATTTGCATTTAAAGCCACGGGCTACAAAAACAGCTACACTGTACTCAGACACCAAAACTGGCAGATTCTGGAGGCTATATTAAATAATCTGATGGGTGTTTTGAGCTGAAACTTTATAGACAAAGACCAAAGACACCAAAGGCTTATCTTACATCTTGTAAAAGAGATAAAACAGGTGGCCTTTACACAGAAACAGCATGTATTTAAGAAATGTCAAACGTGATCATGATTATGAATGTATAATTTTGCATACAACAGTGTACGATGTCATTTCTCGATACGCACCGTGAAGACAAAAATGGAGGCGCAGAACCACAGCAGAGCGAGGTAATATCCCATCCGTCCAAACAGAAGTCCTGCAACCACTCCCACAATCATCCTGAGGAAACACACACACACACATTTCACAGCTGCTTATTCCAAAGAAAGCATGCATTATATGCAGATTAGCTTTCCCCAGGTGTTTGATTGACAGGTGATCTGACCAATCACAATGCAGATATTACAAACCATACCCAGTGGAGTAAAAGTTGCTCAAATAGACAGATGGCAGAAGTCCAGACAGGCTGGGGAACACGCTAAATTCATGTCTCGTGTCATAAAAATACTTTTTAGAGAGTTAATGAAGACACAAACGTCATAAGTGCACGATGTTTGACTTTAGGTCACGAAACCAGAATGTTTTCCTGTTATTGTGAGTGCAAGCACATTCAGTTTCAAACAACGGCTTGGTCTTATCTGAGTGACCTAACATGACGCTGTATTTTATCATCTTTCCGTTGTGAGCGTGTTTATTGAACCTGTTAAACCTTACATCTACAAGTCTGCTTTTAATATTGATATCTGAGGAAGTGCTCGTCATTCAGAATCAGCAGGTCATCTCCAGTCACTTTCACATCCTGATGTTTTAAATATCATTCGCAGACTTTTTGGTCACTTCTGTCTGAAATCAGCAAGTCATTTTACCAGAAATGATTCTGCATTTCTCTGGAGATACAGTAGTAAAGGAGATGTGGAAATTCATGACAAGTTGCGGAAATTGATAATAGAAGAAAATAAAATAAGGCGTTTATGGACTATTTGTTTTTACAACCTTTAAAAATACAGATGTTGACATTCAATTTAATTTAGATTGGCAATTAATATGTTTAATGACCTGAGTGCTGGCCCCAAAGAAACGCTAGTGGTCTAAGAAAAAAAATAAAAATAAAAAATAAATAAATATATATATATATATATATATATATATATATATATATATATATATATATATATATATATATATATATATAAATTAATTTATATATTAAATATATTTCATAAAAAATATTTTATATATATATATATATATATATATATATATATATATATATATATATATATATATATATATATATATATATATATGTATATTAATTATATATATAAAATAATTTATATATTAAATATATTTCATTAAAAAAAAAAAAAAAAAATATATATATATATATATATATATATATATATATATATATATTAATGCAATATATTTAATATATAAATTAATTTCTTTAGATCTGAAATTTCAATTAAATAATAAAATAACAAATATTTGACGAAGGTAAACACAATAGCATAAAAGAAGTAAACATATTAATTATGTTTTTATGCATTTTAATAACTAAATATATAAAATAATGCAATAAAACATTATTATATATAATACATACGTATATTTATATAATATAATGCATGTTTATTTAATTTAATGCACACAAAAAATAAATAATTATTAAAAATCACTATATATGATACAGTAAATAAATTCATTCTGGAATTTTGATTTAAAATAAACTAATAAATATAAAATTAAACTTTTAAATACAAAAACATTAAAGTAATGAAATGTGTAAATAAATATGGTCCAACAACAAGTAGAAAATAATTTCACATTTTATTTGTTAGAAACTAAATATTTTGGAGCCTTTTATAATAACAATTTTTCACAGTTTAGATAAAAATATATACATGATGTTGTACAAGAAACGATGGGCTTGCTCTGTAAATAGTATCATAAAAGGAGTTCTTTTGCTGAAGGATGAGGATAGATGAGGCCTGTACATTTAAAAGGCTGAAAGAAAACCCTGTTAATTATTATACCTGGTATGAGGACAAATAACCGAGTTAAAAGTGTAACCATTATTAACGAAACATTCCTCAGTGATGTATTAATAATGTCCTGCATTTGTTTTCACTAAGAGTTGAAATGAACACTTTCAGTAATACTTTGGTTGAAATAACAAATCACATACTATTAGCTTATTACCCGTCTAATATTAAGATATTTCTGTTTATAAGTGTTTAGAAAGTATGATCTTATTCTAAATAAATTAAAATAAAGTGTGACCTTTTTATTAAAACCTTTTAGTTTTATTGTAATTACTCTAAATAAAAACTATTAAATGACTATAATCAAGCATATAAGACAATTGAGAGTGCTGCCGATAGCACCACCTAGTGTCCAAAATACGTATAGAATCAGACAGGATGTAGACATTAGTGTAAAAATAATGATATACCGGGAAGCCTATGCAAATCCTGTCTTACCCGACATATTTGTATCCGGAAAAGGCCACCAGGTCGATGGTGGTGAGGTCGGTGTTAACCGTTACCAGGTAAAGACTGAGAAGGACAGCTAAAACCTCAATAATGAGCCACACCAATGCTGAGCTGGCCTGAATGCCCAGAATTTCTGGAGAAAACCTGGAAAAGAGAAGCGAAAGCCAAGAAATGAGGAACAAATACTTTATTATGACTATTAACAAGCACAAAAACTTGGGTCAAGACAATCGCAGGAAGTCCTGTTTGACGTCTCAGCAGTTTTCCATTTCCCTCTGAAACTCGGGAAATCCTTAAAACACTGTCCTCCTGAGAAAACCACTTATAAAACACTCAAGTTTACACGAAAAATAAAACATCATACATTTTTTGATCATTTGAACTGGGAGTGATGGCTATGATGTTGCAAGTAATGTTTCCTGATGTGTTTTTGGGGTATTTAATACCTATTTAACAGCATCAATTATGTAATAATGTAAATTAGTATATAATGGTTAGAATATTGTGTTGCTTCATTTGTTCTTTCATTTTAGTCCCTTTATTAATCTGGGGTCGACACAGAGGAATGAACCGCCAACTTATCCAGCATACATTTTACACAGCGGATGCCCTTCCAGCTGCAACTTATCACTGGGAAACATCCATACACACTCATTCATACTCACACACCATGGTCAATTTTGGCTTACCCGATTCCCCTATGCAAGTCTGTGGGGGAAACCGGAGCACCCGGAGCAAACCCACGCCAACACGGGAAGAACATGCAAACCACACAGAAATGCCAACTGACCCAGCCGAGGCTCGAACCCAGCCGAGGCTCAAGCCGAGGCTTGCTATGAAGCGATCGTGCAACCCACTGCGCCACCGCATCACCCCATGTTGTCACAATGTGCGTTATAATATTATTGTGTTAAAATGTTTAAAGGTGTAATACGATTTTACATACATTTTAGACAGTAATAAATTTGTTTGAAGATAATAACAACAACAACAACAAAAAACAAGAACCAACAAAACACAATATGATAATTATATTTAATTATATATTAAATTTCTATTGTTATTTTATTTTAATATTAAGGGAACATTTCAATTTTACTTTATTCAGGGTATATTTATAAAGGGTTAATAATGGTGTGTTTATAAATAATAATAATAATAATAATAATAACAATAATAATAATAATAACAAAAACAAGAATAATTACAACAAAAATTATATTTAATAAACTATTTAATTTATATTATTATTTGATTTTAATGTTATTAAGAAAAAATTGCAATATTATTGCATTAAAATATTAAAAGGATTAATAATAGTCATTATGTGTTTATAGATAAAAGTCCTAATAATAATAATAATAGTAGAAGACATTTAATTATTCATAGTATTTTTTGTGGGACATTCTCTATAATAATAAGGTAATACTGTAAATATTTCAGTAATTTAGTGTATGTTGAAAGCACTGTGGTATTACCATCTGATGCTATCACTGAACTACACAGTATTTAATATCTATTTAGTAGCAGCTATTTTGTAGTATTTAATTATGGTAATTAATAATATTAGAACTATTTATTATGTTGCTAAAATGTGTGTTACAATATTATTGTATTAAAATGTTCAAAATGATAATGATATTTTAAATATATTGCTAGACCACATTATTAAAATTATTTAATAATTGTGTTGATAATCTTTTTATTTATATTTTGTTGTAATATTATTAATGGAACATTTTAATATTATTGTATTAAAATGTTTTAATTATGTTTATGGACAACAATAATAACAATAATAATAATAATTTCTGACATATTAGTAGGACATTCTTTATAGTATTACTTATCTTGTCATATGGTAAAAACAGTAAATATTACAGTAATTCAGTATATGTTGAAAGCATTGTAATATTACCATCTGATACCATCTCTGAACCACACCGTATTTAACAGCTATTTAGTAGCAGTTATTTAGTAGTATTTAATTATGGTAATTAATAAACAGATATAATTTTATTAATGTTGCAAAAATGCATTTAACAATGTTATTAATATTATTTATTCATATTAATAATATATTTATTTATATTTTATCATAATTTTATTAATGGAACATATTAATATTATTGTATTAAAATGTCTTAATTATTATTTGTTTATGAATAATAATACAAATAATAATAATATTATTATTAATAATAATAATAGCGATGCTGTTGTGCAGTAGGTAGTGCTGTCACCTCCAGCAAGAAGGTGGCTGGTTCGAGCCTTGGCTGGGTCAGTTGGTGTTTCTGTGTGGAGTTTGCATGTTCTCTCCGTCCACGTGACTTTCCTCCGGGTGCTCCGGTTTCCCCCACAGTCCAAACACATGCAGTACAGGTGAATTGGGTAGGCTAAATTGTCCATAGTGTATAAGTGTGAATGAGTGTGTGGATGTTTCCCAGAGATGGGTTGCAGTGGGAAGGGCATCCGCTGGCAGATTCCGTAAGAAACAGTTTTGTTTAACAGATAAAGCCAGACAGATAAACAGTGGATTCTCTGAGCTCTGCTAATGTGTGACGGGAAGTAAAAGTGGAGGAGGTTTTTCTCCTAAAGGAATTTTCTGAATTCTTGTAAACCGGTTGAAGGGCAAGTCTTAAGAACAACACTGATAACAGATAAAATAACCCTAACATCAGAGCGAAGAATTCAGTCATTATCAGCCAGACCACACAGAGACATGACATTCCCAAGCAGTTTTCTCAGAATCCAATTAAACTCTTACCGGTTCTGTGTGCCCAGAGCCAGGCCTGCAACCAGGACATATGTAATGAATCCCATCACTGCCAATGAGAACACAGCAAAAATAAACAGACGCATGTCAATCAAAATATATTCATGCACGTTACTGTAAAGTCATACCAGTTTAATTATTGACTTATAAAGCGCAAATAAACACAATGATTGAGCAATGTGCTGCAGAAGTAAAAGAACTATAATACATGTCACACAATGCACTTTAAAAATAAACAAACAATAAAAAGACAGAGAGCATGTTTTTATAATGTTTATTTACAGTGTAGCTCAGGGGTGGCCAACCCTGTTCCTGGAGAGCTACCTTTCTGCAGATTTCAGTTGCTACCCATATCAAACACACCTGCCTTTAATTATCACGTGGTGTTCAGGTCCTAATTAATTGGTTCAGGTGTGTTTGATATGGGTAGCAACTGAAATCTGCAGGAAGGTGGCTCTCCAGGAACAGGGTTAGGCACCCCTGGTGTAGCTATTCATTTAAATACGGACTGATATTAATTATTTACATGTACTTACTATAAATGGTTAAGGTTAGGTTTAGGGTTAGTTGCATGCAAGTATGCATAATTAATTGCAGTTTCTATAGTGAGTAACATTTGTAACAAGAACACCTAAAAATGAAGTGTTAGCCTTTTTATTTTCATGCCTGTACACTTTAATATGAATATGCAACACCATTTTGATGAACTGCACACCCCTCATCGACATTATTAAACTGCATATCACTAATTTAGCCAGTAGTCAAAATTAAAGCTAATCTAACAAAAGACTTACGATAACAGTCCAAAAGTCAGTACACCCAATTTATTTGAAAGGGGAAATTTTTAAAAACAGCAAAACAATTATAATAATCAAGAGAAACATAACATGTATAAACTTTTATGAAATTTCTGTTACAAAAATATTATTTTAATAAATATATGTGTTAAATAAATCAGTTTTGTTTAATGCACCTAAATATATTACATATATTCACTAAGAAATTAATAAATATGTTAATTTTCAAAATAGGGCAAACTCATTTATATACAGTTATACATATACAGTGCATCCGGAAAGTATTCTCAGCTCTTCAGTTTTTCCATATTTTGTTTATGTTCCAGTCTTATTCCAAAATGGATTAAATTCATTTATTTCCTCAACATTCTACACACGATCCCCCATAATGACAATGTGAAAAGAGTTTCTGAAATTGATGCACATTTATTAAAAATAAAAACCCTGAAGAAAAAATAAATAAATAAATCAGATTTGCATCAGTATTCACAGCCTTTGCTCAATACATTGTTGATGCACCTTTGGCAGCGATTACAGCCTCAAGTCTTTTTGAATATGATGTCACAAGCTCTGCACACCTGTCTTTGGGAATTCTGCCCATTCCTCTTTGCAGGACCTCTCAACCACCATCAGGTGGGATGGGAAGCGACGGTGTATTTTCAGATCTCTCCAGAGATGTTCAATAGGATTTAGGTCTGGGCTCTGGCTGGGCCACTCAAGGACATTCACTGAGTTGTTGTTGTGCCGCTCCATTGATATGATGATGGAGGCTGCTGTGCTCACTGAACTTTCAGAGAAGCAGAAATGTTTCTGTCACCTTCCCCAGCCTTGTGCCTCGAGACAATCCTGTCTCGGAGGTCTACAGGCAATTCCTTTGTCTTCATGCTTGGTTTGTGCTTTGACATGCACTGTCAACCCTGGGAGCTCATATAGACAGGTGTACCCTTTCTTTTCAAATCATGTCCAATCAGCTGAATTGAGCACAGGTGAAGCTGCTGAAACATCTCAAGAATGATCAGTGGAAACAGAATGAACCTGAGCTCAATGTAGAGCTTCACGCCAAGACTGTCAATACTGATGTACACGTGATTTCACAATTTCAAAAACTCTTTTTACACATTGTCATTATGGGGGATTGTGTGTAGAATGCTGAGGAAATAAATTAATTTAATCCATTTTAGAATAAGGCTGTAACCTAAACAAACATGGAAAAAGTGAAGCGCTATCAACACTTTCCGGATGCACTGCATTATGTAAACACACGCTTTTGTTTTGAACACAATAAATCTTTTGACAGCACCACTAAAAATCTAAAAGTTTGGAGCCGTACCTGGAATATAGAGGTCAGGGGCGTTGATATCGAAGCGTGGAGCGACTGGTGTGTCCTGCTGATAGTTCACCTCCCAGTTCTGCACCATAAACAAACATTCAGAAGTTAAAACACGATTATCTCTTTACACCGCCAAAATAACACACGCTGTGCATCTTCCACACAACAAATCTCTCAATCTCCAAAGGGTAAAATAAGGACATTTAGTCAAAGTCTATATAATTTGAGTAATCCAGCATATTTAGTCACAGTATCAGCCTTCAAATCTCTTATTTTGGATTTTCAAGGCAATAAAGGAAGTAAATGAAGTTTGGAAAAACACGAGTAAGCAATGACAAATCTCTTTGTGAAGATTAATTATAAACAAATTGAGAGGATCACATGCTTATGATTGTTCACAGCTGTTCCAACTTTAGCTAATGACTAATTATCCTTTCAGACGATCCTTAACTCACTATAAATAATCAGACTATTCTCATCTCAATATCTTCGTCTTGAAGAAACCCCCCCACCCATTTCTACTTTCCCTTCTTTCAAACGGGCGACACGGTGGCCAGTGATTAGCACTGTTGTCTTACAGTAAGAATGCCCCTGGTTTAATTCCCTTCCAAACCAGGCGACATTTCTGTGTGGAGTTTAGCTCGTTCTCCCTGTGATAGCATGGGTTTTCCTCCGGTTTCCTCCCACAGTTCAAACACAAGCACCCTAAACAATTAATCCAAAATATTTTAGCCAAACTCTGAGTACACCTTCAGCATCCATATCTGACACTTAGCTACAATAAGCAGGAGGGGGAGTCAGCGAGATCTACCTGAGCTCAAACTCCCCTCTCGCCTTGCAATGGGAGGGAGCCCAGGGCTCGAGGATCTTATAAACTCAGGGCTCTCTCCAGGAACAGCACGCCAAACTAGCTTTATTATCAACCATCAGCTAAGTGTGAACTCTTGAAATATAGTTTACCCCCTTAGAAAAAATTCAAATACACTTTCAAACTAGTCTGAACCGGTAACCGTTAATACCCATAGATTTTTTTTTCCTACAATGGAAGTCAATGGTTACCGATTAACAACATTCTTCAAAATATCTAATAAATTCTTCAGAAATATAATATTCATATTATGTTTAAAATAGTTCAGCCATCATCAAATTTCAATTCAAACTAATATACTTCAATTCTGTGGAAAATAACATGCAATGTATATGATGAAATATGTCCAGTTCACAACTAATTATACTACTTGCATAAGTGTGGTGAGCTTACATCATGCATGTAGGGAAAAACCAGCAATCCGAGTTTCTTTCCAACATATACAGTGTCTACTGCAAAGTAGTACTTCAGCTTAGAGATGGGGATGAAACGGTCCAGCTGTAGACCAAAAAAGAGAGACACTTTGCTTTACAATGCATTGCAAAATAATATTGGGGTTCATAAAAACACATAATGCACTCAGAATTAATCCTGCGGCTCTGTAAGGAGAAACAAAACACTTCTTGTTTCGACACATCACATGCTATCAGCAGCACACAGACATCTTCATTTGTAGTTGACAGAAGAAATCATTTATTAATAATAATAGATTCGCTTTATAATAATTGGACACTTTCAACTGTGCATATTTGTTTCGTATTTAAACTTTAAGAGTGCTATTTAAAGAATATTTAAATTGTATTTGGGACCAAATAATTGATGATTTATTAATATAATTAGTTTTTTTATTTAGCTATAGTTTAGCTTAATCATTTATTTACATGTTAATGTGATCTACTACATGAAATATTATATATCAAATATTATGAAATACAGTAATTTCTTAGCTAATGCCTAACAACGCATTATCAGTCGTAATCTGATGACAAGTCATAATGGTTTTATTAAATGGAGTTAATAACTACTATAATTTAGTTTGATATCAATTTAGATAACTAATAATGGATAACTATTTATTATTTGAGCATTTAGAGTGCTTTTAAAGAATCTTCAGATTGTTTTTGCGGCAGTAATAACAGGATGAAGCCTTTTATTTACTGAAATTTTATTTTATTTGTAATTTTTAAGCTAAAACTTTGCTTAATATCTAATGTGAGCTACTACACAACACTGACTGAAAATTCTGTGATAATTTCTTAGTTAATGTCAAATAATGCATTAAAACCATAGTTATAATCTGATGACAAGTCATAACGTTTTTATTAAATGGAGTTAATAACTAATATAATTCAGTCTGATATTAACATAAATAATTAATAATGGATAATTATTTATTATTTAAAAAGTTTTGAGTGCTTTTCCAAATATATTCACATAATTTTTGCAAGGGTGTGCATAACAGGAACAGATGCATGGAGAATTATTGTTATTTTTTAAATTTTATATTTTATTTTTAATTTTTAAGTATAGCTTAAAAGATCAAACATGAACATCTTCAGACGTGGTCTACAACATGCTCAAATACCAACGGGAAATTCTGTGATAATTTCTTAACGCATTATAACACATTTACAACGTAGTTGTAATCTGATTTCCAGTCATAATGGTTTATGAAATGGAGTTAATAACTAATCTATTACAGTTTGACATGTTCATAGATGATTAATAATGGATAATTATTTATTATTTAAGCTTTCAGAGTGCTTTTTTAAAGAACATTCACATTGTTTTTGCAGCGGTTATAACAGGAACAAATGCTTGGAAACCTTTTTTAACTATTTTATTTTTAATATTTAAGCTAAAGTGTTGCGTAATTAAAAAAAAAATTTAATTTTCTCTACTACTGACTGAAAATTCAGTGATAATTTTTTAGCTATTGATTAATAATGCATTAAAATCGTAGTCATAATCTGTTTACAAGTCATATAGGTTTTATTAAATGAATTTAAAAGCTTATATAATTTAGTTGTATTTTTTATTTAATATCAACACAGTAGCCACATTAAATCTACTTTTTTATCACTGTTTATTTTAATCCATTATAAACATCTACTGAGACTTTATTGTATTTTAAAGTGTTAACTTTTGCACTTTATAATCCTTTTTGCAATTGAATTTGGTTAAAACAATCAATATTAATGTTAATATTAATTAATATTAATTTAATATCAACAACAAAGTATTACTTAAAGTATTTGTGTAAATGTTTAATTTGCAGCTTAATTCAATATCTTGATAATACCACATACTGATAGAAAAGCTTCAGCAATTCATCACAACAAGAAAGTTTCGTAAGACTTTAGTTTAAGTATCAACTCGCATCATTTACTCCGAGCTTATTACCAGCCTATTATTAAAATATTAACTGTTTATTAGCACTTATAACATATGATCCTACTTTACATCCCTAATCCTACCCTACTAACTCTTAATAAGCAGTTAATTAGTAGTTTATTGAACTAAAAGTCTTAGTTAATGGTTTGGTAATAGCATGAATTGTACATTAAAAGCAAGTGTGACCAAAACATACGTTCTTATCCATCATCTCTTTGCCGTGGGATGCCAGACTGCTGCCGTAGGCCATGGCGAGGTTTGACATGGGGTCCGAGAGCAGGTTCTGTCCTGAAAACACATCGGGGCTTTTTCCGACCCTGCCGGGCTCATGTTTGTTCACTCCGGAACTGGTGTCATCAAATAACTGTGTGGGGTCACTGGGCTCCATCGCGGACCCTCGCATCCTGACCTGCGGCACTGAAATACAGAGAATCACATTAAACTCAAGCAATGTTGTACTGTTTGCTGTTGGCTATGCTGTCCTCTCCTGCTGAAATTGTTGTTGTTTTTACCCTCCTTCTTCTACTTGTGTCTAACTGATTACTTGTATTTTGTGTTATTATGCTTTGCTTCTTTTTTTTAGGTGTGACTTTTTAACATTCTGTTAAGGGTCTACAGATGAAAAACAGCCATTCTTAGCTAAGTCTGGTACATTTTACAATAAGGTTGGTTACTGTGCATTGACCCTGTGAACAAATAAACTAAACTGAACTAAATAATGAGCATTATTTTAACAACTGACCGCCAAAAAAAAAAAAAAAAAAAAAAACAAAAATAACTTTTTTGTCTTGCTTCTTAAAAATTCTTGAAGAATTTTCTAGAAAAGCTAAACATGTTGTCTTGCTTTAAAAAAAGTCACAATTAAGTGAGTTTTTACTTACAAGAAGCTAAATAATCTGCTAATGGGGTAAGCTAAATAATCTAGTTTTCACTTTGAATGCTCATCTACTTAGAATATAATTATTATGCAACTCATTTCAGTGTTTTTGATTAATCTACAAGATTATTTTGATTTTGATTAATCTACAAGATATATATATATACACACACACACACACACACATATATATATATATATATATATATATATATATATATATATAGACATACATATATATATATATATATATTCTACTGAATGTGAGCAAACAAACAACTAAAAGATGAGGATTGAGGCAATATTTTATATTCGCACATGCAGACTTTCTCATTATTAATATAATTTCAGAAAAGTATTCTTTGCAAATTCTAAATAGGGAAATCATAATGGCATGTAGACATGGTCAAGATGATCTGCTGCAGTTCAAAGCGAGCATCAGAATGGGGAAGAAAGGGGATTTAAGTGACTTTGAACGTGGCATGGTTGTTGCTGCCAGACGTGCCAGTATTTCAGAAACTGCTGATCTACTGGGATTTTCACGCACAACCATCTTTAGGATCTACAAAGAATGCTCCGACAAAGAGGAAATATCCAGTGAGCGGCAGTTCTGTGGGCGCAAATGCCTTGATGCCAGAGGTCAGAGGAGAATGGCCAGACTGGTTCCAGCTGATAGAAAGGCAACAGTAACTCAAATAAGCACTCGTTACAACCGAGGTCAGCAGAAGAGCATCTCTGAACACACAAACACGTCCAACCTTGAGGCGGATGGGCTACAGCAGCAGAAGAGCACACCGGGTGCCGCTCCTGTCAGCTAAGAACAGGAAACTGAGGCTACAATTCACACAGACTCACCAAAACTGGACAATAGAAGATTGGAGAAACGTTGCTGCTCTGATGAGTCTCCATTTCTGCTGACACATTCGGATGATCAGCTAACAATTTGGCCTCAACAACATAAAAAGCATGGATCATCCTGCCTTGTATCAGCGGTTCAGGCTGGTGGTGGTGGTGTAATGGTGTGGGGGAGATTGTCTTGGCACACTTTGGGTCCATTAGTACCAATTGAGCATCAACGCCACAGCCTACCTGAGTATTGCTGCTGACCATGTCCATCCCTTTATGAGCACAGTGTCTCCATCTTCTGATGGCTACTTCCAGCAGGATAACGCAGCATGTCATAAAGCTCAATCATCTCAGACTGGTTTCTTGAACATGACGATGAGTTCACTGTACTCAAATGGCCTCCACAGTCGGCAGAGCTCAATCCAATAGAGCAGCTTTGGGATGTGGTGGAACGGGAGATTGGCATCATGGATGTGCAGCCGACAAATCTGCAGCAACTGTGTGATGCTATCATGACAATATGGAGCAAAATCTCTGAGGAATATTTCCAGTAACGTTAGCTTGATGAATCTATGCCATGAAGGATTAAGGCAGTTCTGAAGGCAAAAGGTGTCCCACCCGGTCCTAGTAAGTGGCCGGTGAGAGTATATATATAGTCGTCAGTGTTCTAAAATTAACGATCGAGCGGATTTAAAACCAACTTTGCCTCAATTAAAATAAACACATTATGAGATGAATTCTAACATGTCAGAATAAGGAGAACACACGCTTATTTAACAAAACAACACGAATACAAGTGTTCAGATATTCTCTAGACGTGTCTATGACGCTTAACATTAGGTGACAGCAGCTTGTTTATTCGCTGACAGAAAGAAACTGAACGCCTCTGAATCACAATGTTCACGTACGTAACTTACGCTGTCTGAACCCACTCTGATTCGGGTACTCCATCATCTCTCCCCTCAATGGTATACGTTGTTAAATAGTTACGAGACACATATATAAATATTTATCCACACATTTAGACTTGTAACCGACAAGCTGCCGGTGTAGAGAAACTAAAATTAGCAGCGGCAGGAAAACTCGGGCGGATCAGAGAGCGTCGCACTGATATTTCTTCCGGGTCACGCACACGGATCCGCTCACGATTGGACAGCGTAACGTAAAGCGTCTTGAAAGCTTTGAAGAGTATAGTTTTATATAATATTACGTTTACAACATTTTATATTGGTCGACTATTTATTTATTTGTTTTTAAAGAATATATTTGAGTCACATGTTTCCGTTTTATTGCAGCCTTCTATAAACTTTTATTTAGTATTTCTTGCTAATCATAGTTGTATATAAAATGCATTTTTGTTCCATTTATGGATAAAATAAACAAACGGATTATGTCACCAATTACTGGAATAGTTAATTATGAAGTGGACTTCTACGGAAAACGCACATATATACACACCACACCATATTCACCATAATCATTGTTAAAGAAACTTTATTTTAATAATAAATAAAACTGTTTAATACGTTATAATTGCTAGCTAACATTATTATTTATTATTATTACATAGGATTGATAGGTTTGTGTTTTAGCGATTTATTTATAAACGTTACACATCACAGTCTGTGATTGGACTAGCCTGAACAGCGCTGAGAAAAGTAACAAGCACCACGTGATTTATTCGAGAAAACTCTGCGCCTTCTCGTCTATTTAAAAAGTATAGACCAGTTACATTTCTGAATAATTAGATGAACAAAGTAATACATCTCTTAGATTAGAACAAAATTATTAGATTGCATTACAGAAACCTCTTAGATGTTAAAAAATATCGTCAATTCAGTGATGACAAGACTTTTCATTTTGTGGTGAACAAACCCGATTGACCAAACACACGCGTGATTGGGCTAGCCCGAGCAGCGCAAAGAAAAGTAACAGGCACCCAATGATGATGTGATCGATTTGCGTAGGGAGGCTGAGAGAGTGCCTCGATGTGTGGTAAGATTTTAGAGTTTGTACACAAGTATTATCTCGATTTATCTGAATATAAGCACCACATAAAAAGATTGCAAACCATTTTATTTACACTTTACACTATAACAAAGAATGTCCAGCATTTGTTTAAGAAAGACAATCATTTGGAATTAGAAATGTATATGTGCAACAGAATGCAATATTTACATGCCAATAACCTGAATCATTTGAAAAAGACTCAATGGGAAAGACTTGACCTCGTGATTGCTAAATGAATATACTTAATTTATAAGGATACAGAAAGTATTCATTGATTTTCCTTCGGCTTAGTCCCTTTATTTATCAGGGGTTGCCAAAGTGGCATGAACCACCAACTATTCCAGCATATGTTTTACGCAGTGGATGCCCTTCCAGCTGCAACCCAGTACTGGGATACACTACGAGCAATTTAGTTCAATTCCCCTATAGCGCATATGTTTAGACTGTAGGGGAAACCGGAGTTAACCCACGCCAACACGGGGAGAACATGCAAACTCCACACAGAAATACCAACTGACTCAGCCGGGACTCAAACCAGCGACCTTCTTGCTGAGCCACTGTGTAAATCAGGGATGTCCAAAGTCAGTCCTGGAGGGCTGGTGTCCTGCTGATCTTAGCTCCAACACACCTTCCTTCAACACACCTGCCTGGAAGTTTCTAGTATACCTAGTAAGAGCTGGATTAGCTGGTTTAGGTGTGCTTGATTAGGGTTGGAGCTAAATTCTCCAGGACACCGGCCCTCCAGGACCGAGTGTGGACACCCCTGGTGTAAATTAAAACATCTTAATAATAATTGTATCTTGGTTGTGTGAGATGGTCAACAACTCACAGCAGTGTAAACAGTGCACGATTCATGAGAAAAGGGTTGTTGTTGTTGTTTTTAAATGATAGTTTGGTTGATTGGTTTTACAAGTGAATCATATTTTTACAGTTTAGCTTTGTATATAATAGTCTACATTCAAAAACACAGACTCTTATATGGTTGTGATGGGGCATTTCTTCCTAATTTCCCATAATTTGATAACGCACTACCTGACTAAAGTCTTGTCGTGGATCCCAGTTGTAAGAGCAACAAATAATAACTTGACTCTAGTTGATCATTTAGGCTGATTTATGTTGATCTGCATCACAAATACTGCAGAAGACCTACTGGAACCAGCATGGACACAAGATTCTCACAGAAATCAGTCAAGTTTGGTGAAGGAAACATCATGGTTTGGGGTCTACATTCAGTATGGGGGCGTGCGAGAGATCTGCAACATCAACAGCCTGAGGTATCAAGACATCTGTGCTGCCCATTACATTACAAACCACAGGAGAGGGACAATTCTCCAGCAGGATAGCGCTCCTCATACTTCAGCCTCCACATCAAAGCTCCTGAAAGCAGAGAAGGTCAAGCTGCTACAGGATTGGCCAGCCCAGTCACCAGACATGAACATTATTGAGCATGTCTGAGGTAAGATGAAGGAGGAGGCGTTGAAGATGAACACAAAGACTCTTGATGAACTCTGGGATGAACTCTCGCTTTCTTTGCCGTTCCAGATGACTTTATTAATCAGTGATGTGAGTCATGTCAGAGATGTATGGATGCAGTCCTCCAAGCTCATGATGGAGTCAGACACAATATTCATTCTGTCTCCACTGCAGCAGGACTTTATATTCTATACTGGACATTATTTCTGTTCAGTGATGAGTAAAGTCAGAGCTTACTGTCCTAATGCAATCATTAATAATCAAGGCATGATCAGATTTTATTGTGCTCAAATAAGCAAAATCTAGAGGCCTTTACCTTTCATAGAGACACTTCTGATACCAAATGATCAACTAGAAGTCAACTTATTTATTGTTCTTAAACATGGATGCTTTTGTCAGGAAGTGTAGGTCATCATTTTATAATATATTCAAACAGTTTCCAGTGGCGGACCATTGGTTTAGTTTTGTTGTGAAAACCTGGCAACCCTCCATCACAACCTGCATCTGCTCAACGCTAGTAATGTTTCCACCTAAAGGCTGAAAACAAGACGCTTTTTGCTCGTCTAGAAAATGCGTATTGATGCAAGAATTTGTAGATATTTAAACAAGAAACAAGACAAAATCTCATAAATCTGCATGGAAACTCATCACCACCCATTCACTCAACTGCATGTTCATAGTGTCCACACACCACCCCGACGTCCTCATCGTGAGAGCAGTTGTTTTTGCCCAGTTTGGCGTGTTTGCAGTGCAGTAAAGTGCGTTCTGTTCCTTCACACTCCACATCGTCCAGCATAATCCTGACGCCGAGACCCCCAGCCCCGAATTCGGCTCTTTTGGCCACTCGTACAGCCACCGGAAAGCCCATCTGCCTGCAGACCACCGCCGCCGCCTGGATGTTAAACAAGTCGTCGCACACCGTCCCCCATTCCCCACGCACAAATATCTCCACCCGCCCGCGATCTTTCCGTAAATCTGCGCTGACTATTCTCACCGTCCCGGCCCGAGGACGCCCCCGCCGGTCTCCTTTCCTCCTGGGTTTGCCCCGTCCTCGTTTGGTTGGTCTGCTGGTTTGGGTTTTTGCGGTGGTTCTGGGAGCTGTGGTCCAGTATGTTGGTCGGGCTGTGGTCGGGGATGGAGGTTTTGTGTGGTGGACTCGGGGTCGGACGGTGGGCGCTGGAGGAGTCCTGCGGGTGGTTGTTGTTGTTTGGGGACGAGAGGTTGTGCTGGGTTTGGGGGGTTTTGGTTTGGGTGCAGGTGTTGTGGAGGGTTTTTTGTTGATCACAAACTCTGTGGAACAAAGTAAAGAGATTGTGTCTAACAACAGGCAGAATAAGGTAGGGACGGGCTATATCTACACTGCATTTGCTTTTTAATTAGAGGTTTAGCAAAATCTCCAATTAAAAAAAAGCAAAACTGATCCCACTTTGGTCAACTTTTTTCTTACAGTAATATTTTTACTCATTCATTCATTTTCCTTCGGCTTAGTCCCTTTATTAATCTAGTGTCGCCACAGCGGAATGAACCGCCAACTTATCCAGCAAATGTTTTACGCAGCGGATGCCCTTCCAGCTGCAACCCAACACTGGGAAACACGCATACACTCTTATTCAAACACACACATACATTACAACCAATTTAGCCTAATCAATTCCCCTACAGCGCATGTGTTTGTACTGTGAACTGACCCAGCCGGGACTCGAACTATCATTCTTCTTGCTGTGAGGCGACCCACTGCGCCACCATGACGCCCTGATTTTAAGTTCATTATCTATTTATTTGTGTAAAAAAAGCATCCCAAAAGCATCCGCTGTGTAAAACATGTTCTGGATAAGTTGGCGGTTCATTCCGCTGTGGCGACCCCTGATTAATAAAGGGACTAAGCCTAAGAAAATGAATGAATATGTGAATGAATGTGGTTCACTACACACTGAGTGTGCCATGAGAACATCCCCTTCGTACATCATCAAAACTGGTATTTTAAATAACAGCAGACCTAATTAAAGTCATTAAACAATTATAAATGATTTATAATCTAGCTACCTAGCCAAATTACACAAATAACAGATTCTTTTGTATATAAATGTCTGTCGTTTGTCATAGCGGTTGATGATTTGGGTCATGTGATTCATATTTCACTCTTCCAAATGTCCATTAATCTAGTGTCGCCACAGCGGAATGAACCGCCAACTTATCCAGCAAATGTATTACGCAGCGGATGCCCTTCCAGCTGCAACCCAACACTGGGAAACACGCATACACTCTTATTCAAACACACACATACATTACAACCAATTTAGCCAAATCAATTCCCCTACAGCGCATGTGTTTGGACTGTGGGAAACTGACCCAGCCAGGACTCGAACCATCATTCTTCTTGCTGTGAGGTGACTGTGCTACCCACTGCGCCACCATGACGCCCTGATTTTAAGTTCATTATCTATTTATTTGTGTAAAAAAAAGAGCATCCGCTGTGTAAAACATGTTTTGGATAAGTTGGCGGTTCATTCCGCTGTGGCGACCCCTGATTAATAAAGGGACTAAGCCTAAGGAAAATGAATGAATATGTGAATGAATGTGGTTCACTACACTGAGTGTGCCATGAGAACATCCCCTTCGTACATCATCAAAACTGGTATTTTAAATAATAGCAGACCTAATTAAAGTCATTAAACAATTATAAATGATTTATAATCTAGCTATCTAGCTAAAAAATACACAAATAACAGATTCTTTTGTATATTAATGTCTCTCGTTTGTCATTGCGGTTGATGATTTGGGTCATGTGATTCATATTTCACTCTCGAATGTCCATTAATCTAGTGTCGCCACAGTGGAGTGAACCGCCAACTTATCCAGCAAATGTTTTACGCAGCGGATGCCCTTCCAGCTGCAACCCAACACTGGGAAACACACATACATTACGGCCAATTTAGCCTAATCAATTCCCCTACAGCGCATGTGTTTGGACTGTGAACTGACCCAGCCGGGACTCGAAGGGTCTAATCGATGCACCCTGATTTTCACAGTGCATTGTGGGACTTTTGTGCGCACAAACCTTCCACTGGAAGAACTTTGTAATTCAGACAGTACTTAAAAATGGCGGATGCCTTGATCAGTGCACTGACTAGTGAACAAGGGTGCTGATTGAGACGCCCCCAGCGACTCTCTTACCTTCTTTGGGACTGAAGTGAATCAGCTTGCCCTTTATGTTGACTGGACTAGGCTTGAAGCTGCATTTTCCCGGAGGAGCCCTCCTAAATGATCAAGAAAATGTCCAGCTGTTCATTTCACAGATGCTGAAATCAAAGTGCAACTTGCTCAACATGCTAGAAGCGTACATTTATGACAACATTAAGGAGATGTAAATTCACAAAATGACAGCAGCGGCTTTGTGTACAAGTTTGTGCGCATTCGAGTAGTTGACTGACTCTACCTTGAGTTCATTTCATTCAGATAACAAAACCAGCGGACATTTGTTTTCAAGTGTAGTTCCTTCATTTAAAAGTAGAGACGACAAACATTATGTGGATATATTTCTCATGTCTGTGAAGCAAGTATTGGCTGAGAGTCTAGTGTGAGAGGATTCATAATATAGCTGCAGAAACACAAGTCTGGACCAAGCCCCTCCCCCAAAAGAATGGTCATTATACAGTGATCAGTGATTGGCTACTGTACTAGAAGACAGAGTGTAATTCAGAATATCGACCGTTACACTTTTCTCCATTCACAATTATATATATCATGTGTCTTGGGTGTTCTATAGTCATTGGTATAGTCGGGTTTGTGTATTTGTTTACCTCGATGGATCCACTATTTTATACACCACTCCAGCTCTGGCTGTCGCACTAGCTGCTCCTGTAGCAAGAAAGTAGAGCTCACCTACAGGAAAAAACAGAGGACAGTAAAATTGTGTTCGCTGCTAAACAACGTAAAGCTGAGCCTCAGAGTGATCCCATCCCATATTACCGGCCTCGTCTTCACCGAATGATATAATGTACTTGTAGTAGCTGTTTATGAGCTTGGGGAAACTGCAGGTTTTGTCGTTGCCCATGCAAATCTCCTTATAGCTCCATTTTCCAGTCTCGGGATTCTCCTTTAGGGACATCAGTCGCCTGCGGTGGGGAGCGTATGATTGAATAAGTGTGTGGAAAAGGTAAATAAATCCGTCATTATAGGAAAGTAAACATTTTCCTCATCATTTACTCATCTTCAACTTGTTTGAATTCTTTTATTCTGTTTAACACAAAAAGAGATATTTTGAAGAATGTTGGAAAAGGGTATATTCATATTATAAGATATATTGAAAAATGTTGGAAACCGGTAACCATTGACTTCCATAGTATTTGATAGAATTGTTTATGATATATTATATTTGAATATAAAAAAACAGAGTAGAGAAAATGTACGTACCCACTATTATTTTAAGATATTTTAAAGAATGTTGGAAAAGGGTAACCATTGACTTCCATAATAGTTGATATTATTGTTTATAATGTGTTACATTGGACTATAAAGGAGCATAAAATAAAGAAAATTTACTTACCCACTCCTATTATAAGATATATTGAAACATATTGAAAACCGGTAACCATTGACTTCCATAGTATTTGAAAGAATTGTTTATGATAAATTATATTTGAATATAAAAAACAGAGTAGAGAAAATGTACGTACCCACTATTATTTTAAGATGTTTTAAAGAATGCTGGAAACGGGTAACTATTGACTTCCATAATAGTTGATATTATTGTTTATAATATATTATATAAAGGAGCATAAAGTAGAGAAAATATACACACCCACTCATAAAGATATTCTGAAGGATGTTGGAAACAGGGAACCATTGACTTTGATAGTAGTTGATATTATTGTTTATAATATTAGACCAAAAAAAAGCGCATAAAGTGGAGAAAATGTATGCACCCATTCATATTATAAGATATTTTGAAGAATGTTCCATATTAGTTAATATATTGTTTGTAGTGCATATTAATGGACTATAAATGAGCATAAAGCAGAGACAATGTACATACCCACTCATACCGGTAACCATTGACTTCTATAGTAGTTATTATTGTTTATAATTTGTTATACTGGACTATAAAGGAGCATAAAGTAACAACAAAAAAATGTACCCACTCATATTATAAGATATATTGAAGAATGTTGGAAACCGGTAACCATTGACTTCTATAGTAGTTGATATTATTGTTTGTTATATATTATATTGGACTATAAAGGAGCATTAAGTAGAGAAAATATACATACCCACTCGTATTATAAGATATATTGAAAAATTTAAAAAATGGGTAACCATTGACTTCCATAGTAGTGGATATTATTGTTGAGGGTATATTATATTGGACTATAAAGGAATATAAAGTAGAGAAAATGTACGTACCCACTCATTTTTTAAAATTTGAAGAATGTTGGAAACGGGTAACCATTGACTTCCAAAGCAGCTGATATAATTGTTAATAATGTATTATATTGGACTATAAAGGAACATAAACCCACTCATAAAGATATTTTGAAGAATGTTGAAAACCGGTAGCCATTGACTTGCATAATATTCTTTTCTCCCACGTTGGAAGCCAATGGTTACAGGTTTCCAACAACAAAATATCCCTTTTTGTCTTCAACAGAAAAAAGGCACTTGTAAAAGGACGGTACTATTTAAGTAAATTTAAATTTTTTTGTAAAATATTTCTTAAAGTTTTGTGTTGATATTAATGTAATGTTCCCACTCAGAAACATGTTGGAATCCTGCAGCCATTGACTTCCATAGTATTATTTATTTATTTTCACTCATTTTTTACACTTACAGGTTAAAACCAAAACAGTATTTTGTTTTCTTTGTTGAGGGAATTACCCAACAAAGTCTCTTTAAGTCTTGCTCTGATATCGTTGTTCATAATGTAATGTATTATATTGGATTATGAAGATGCATAAAGCAGAGGAAAGTGTACGTACCCACTCATAAAGTCCCCAAAGATATACAGACCATTGAGATTGGGCATCTGGCAGCCTCTGTAGATGTAGCCGCCCGTTACAGACTTCCCAATTTTATGAGGGTAAGCAAAAATCGGAAGGATGTCATCTAAGAAAAGGAGAAACAAAGCTATTTACTCACATATAGTTTCTTAAAAACCCTCAGATCAACACAGGGAGAACATGCAAACTCCACAAAAATGCCGACTGCCTCAGCCGGGACTCAAACCAGCGACCTTCTTGCTGTGAGGCGACAGCGCTAACCACTGAGCCAACATCAACTAGTTAGATGCTTTAATAAAAATCAAAGGAAGTTGTCAGATGTTTTGCTTACCGAGTGATGAATTATGGCAGAGCTTGTTGTCGTAACAGGAGAATCCCTCTTTGGCTCTCCACCCATAATTCCCTCCTTTTTCAATCAGATCCACCTCCTCGTATTTGTTCTGTCCCACGTCTCCACAGAACATCCGTCCCCGTCCTCGTCCACTGAGCGCATCTCCTCTGTCCACAGAGCATCTCCACATGTTCCTCACGCCATAGGCGTAGATCTCAGGCCTGGACTCTGCTTCTCCCACAAACGGGTTGTCTGGTGGGATGCTGTAGGGGGCGCCAAAGTCATTGTTGTCCACGTCAATCCGCAGGGCTTTGCCTAGAAGAGTACACCTGCACAAACACAAATGTTTTTGTTCATGCACTGTGAAAAAATAGCCATACATTTGCAGTTTTGTGTATTTCTGTGTTTTTATTTTATGCCTTTGAGTTGCATTATTGGATCTTGATCTTTCTTACAACAACTTTTAACCTTTAAGCTTAAAAAAAGTGAGATGTTTAATAGTCTGCAGTGCTATATTGTGTGGGTTGGTGTTGTATATTATGCTACAAAAACCTTGTAATAACCTGTCAGTACATTTTCTGTTATTTCTCTTAGTTCTCTAGATCAGTGGTTCTCAAAGTGGGTGTCGGGACCCCCTGGGGGGTTGCGGGACAATGACAAGGGGTCGCTTGGTGATATCCAAAACTCAAATAAATTTTATTAAACTATTAGAATTACCATATTTTATTCATAACCGACAGAATATAGTTAATAGTTGCATTAAAGAAACAGCAACATAAAAATAACAATCAGTCATCAGCCTTTAATTTTAAAAGCAAAATGTAATTAAATCCATAAATTACTTTAAACACATTATATGGCTAATAGATTGTTGCATTTTTGTGTTGTCAATAAGCTCATGTTTATATTTGCCTATAGTTGTGTCTGCAACGTTTACATATTTACAGTACAACCACCTTGAAAAATGGGGGTCGCGAGCCGCTGATATGATTATTTTTGGGGTCGCGGGCTGAAAAGTTTGGGAACCCCTGCTCTAGATATTATTTCTTAGACATCATATTATTATTATCAAACTACTAAGTGTCAATAAAAGTCCCTTTGTTCACAATTGACATGCAATTCACAATCATAAATAAACAGAAATTGCAAAATGGAGTCTTTGTATAAAAAGAAACATGTATTACTTTTTATCTTATTAAATGTCTTATTATTTTCTTATTATTTTATAATAATTTATAATTATTTTTATAATATTTTCTTTTTATTATTATATTATTTTCTTTTATTTTTTATTATTTTCATAAATGCAAATGTAGAACATTTACAATACAAAATAAACACCAGAAACCTATATATAATATGTGTGTGTGTGTATATATATATATAGCATTACTTTGAGACTATCCTGAAAAAAAAGAAATTTGTATTTTTAAAAATATTTTCCTTTAATGATGAATGTTTTATTTATATATTCTTTTTGTGTATTTTTGTTTTATATTTTATTTTTTTCTTTGTGTTGTACTGTGGCTGTTTTTTTCCCTTAATAATAATAATAATAATAATAATAATAATAAAGGTGTCAGGGTGGCACAGTGGGTAGCACGATCACCTCACAGCAAGAAGGTCGCTGGTTCAAGCCCTGGCTGGGCCAGTTGGCATTTCTGTGTGGAGTTTGCATGTTCTCCCCGTGTTGGCGTGGGCTTCCTCCGGGTGCTCCGGTTTCCCCCACAGTCCAAACACATGCGCTATAGGTGAATTGGGTATGGTAAATTGTCCATACTGTATATGAGTGAATGAAAGTGTATGGGTGTTTCCCAGTGTTGGGTTGCAGCTGGAAGGGCATCCGCTGCGTAAAACATATGCTGGAATAGTTGGCGGTTTATTCGGCTGTGGTGACACTTGATTAATAAATGGACTAAGCCGAAAAGAAAATGAATGATGAATGAATAAGAATATTAAGACCTGTAGACCTTTCCATGTAAATAAATGATCTGTGCTGCATAGAGAGACATTTAAACAATGTGACTGACAAACAAACTGATGAGGCTGTATTTTTTAAGCTGCCCTATAAAAATTATTTGTCTCCTCTTTCCTCTCATCTGCATGGTTGGTAACCTCACGTTGGCCCTCATATAGCCCACAATGCCTTGTGTCAATATTGACAGCGGCGTGGGCTGGACTGTCTGTAAAGACACCACTGTACTGATTCCCTGTCCTGTGAAAGAACTGAAGCCACAGAACTGACTTGCCTTTCTTTCTAAGAGTTTTTGCTTTGTTTCTAGTCCAAATATGCAGCAAAAAATCCTAAATCAAGAAGCATTTTCTAGTCTAGAAGTGTAGAACCGCTGATATTAATATTGCCCACAATACATTGAGAGATGAACGGGTAAAAGTATAAACAAACTTCCAACATGGTGGACATGCCAGACCAACCGTCAGGCAGAGAAAGGCTTCTATAAAGTTGCTTGAATCTATATCTAGCCAACTAGAAATTATTTAAATCATGTTTTCCATTATATAAATGATCTGCAACAATAATATGAACTTATATAAGGACATTAAGGTCTGAATGCATAGCTATCCAAACACCTGAGGAGATTTCTCAGCATGAGAGACTCGTGGATGGCAGATTAACCTGCTGCTTAAATCTCCAATAAGGACGGAAATTAAACATGAAAGGAATATGTCGAGATATAACATAACGCTCTGTTAAGAAGGAGTTAGTCCCTTTCTAGATAAAGTCTAGATGGGGTATACAGCTGTAGATACTCCCATCAGTATTATTTTTGTGAGACTGTACAAATATAATTAATATTTTGGCATTACTGTGAGGTTTGGGGTAAAGGTAGACTTTAATAAAATACAATTTAATGTGTAATTTAATAAAGAATATTAATAATACTCTGTTATATTACTGTTTTACATTACTATGATGGTTATGTTTAGGATTAGGGATAAAAAATACAATTAATGAATAATTCTCGTTAACTTCAGGCCGCAGCTGTCATGATCACCAGCGATCTAACCTTCATAGATTGCTGGAGAACATTCACATTTACATGCACTACAATCCGGTCTCAATATAAACTGCAAGTCCTGTCATGCAACACACGCACACACCTGCTCCACATCTCCATTGATTAGACTTACTCATGGACTGATTACACTGCACAGACTGCTCACTTTGAGACTGAGTCTTGTTACACTGCTTTAGTGAAAATCATGATGCATTTTCCTTGCCGGTTTTGACCCTCCGTTTGTTTGTTTGTTTGTTTATGTTGTATGCTGCCCGCCTAATGACCACGGCCCTGATTTCCCCATAATACATCTGTTTGCTCCTGTGTTATCTGTTGCTTGCCTGACCATTCTGCTAAATAAACCCTGCATTTGGATCCACACTCTGTTGTCAGTGTCCACTTCACATTACAGCAGTCGTATCCCTTTTTGAAACACCCTCAAAAAGTATGCACTCAAAAGTACGCACTTTTTCTTCACAAAAATAAAAGTACATACTATTAGGATGTAGTATAAGTATGGGACGCAGTGTTATACTGTTTATACTACAAAATGTTGTAGAATAGTGCACACGTATGCGATTTGAGACACTATTATTTAAATAATAAGACTTCAGTGGCGTCTCAGGACTTTCTGTGAGGCTGAAAGTTCTGCTCTGCTGTAGTAAACTGTGATTTTTGTCGTGCCAGTCTGTATATTCACCGCTCTGCCAGCTCTGCTTATGTCACACCGGGAAAGGAGGATCGAGGCCAAGGCTAATATTTAGAGGCAGCGTGTCTGTCTGCCTGAATGTACATTACTCAACTGAGGCAAATGAGGCCATATTAATCTACAGAAATGACAAAAACATATTGTTTTGCACATTATTCATTCATTCATTTTCGGCTTAGTCCCTTTATCAATCTGGGGAATGAACTGCCAACTTATCCAGCATATGCTTTTTACTCAGAGGATGCCCTTCCAGCTGCAACCCATCCCTGGGAAACATCCATACACACTCATTTACACTCATACACTACGAACAATTTAGCTTACCCAATTCACCCATAGCGCATGTCTTTGGACTGTGGGGAAACAGGAGCACCCGGAGGAAACCCACGCGAACGCAGGGAGAACATGCAAACTCCACACAGAAGCCAACTGAGCCAGCCGAGGCTCAAACCAGCGACCTTCTTGCTGTGAGGTCTCTGCGTCGCCTTTTGCACATTATATTCAACATATATTAAAGCCTGTGATTTAAATACAATTAAAATATGGATGCTTTATAATGGTCATATCTAAAGCTTGACAAACTCAGTATGAATAAGAGCAGCTAACACTTTCATTGCCTAATATTTTTAAGGAGATAATTCACACCCAAAAAATAATTTCATCACTATTTACTCACACTTAAGTGGTTCTAAACCTATTTTTTGGTATTATTGAACCCAAAACAGGATATTTTGAAGAATGTTATAAAGAAGCAGCAATTGACATCCATACAAGGAACAAAAACAGGTTTGAGGTTGTGTAAATGGTGACAGAATTTTCATTTTTGGTGAACCGTCCCTTTAAGTAACAAACTAATAAGAATATTATAGATAGTGTATATATGAAAACTATGAACATACAATATATGTAATTATATTATCATACTCTACATACCATCTGAAGATATTCTGAAACACAGAGATGCCCAAACTCGGGCCCGCGGGCCAAAGTTGGCCCATCGTAACCTTTGATTTGGCCCGCCGTCCCATCTGAGAATGGTTTGGAGATGGTTTAGTCATTTAAAATTGAATGTAACCTTTTATTTGTTTGTTTTATTGTTAAGCTACAAAAAGCTATCTGAAATAAAATGTTTGATTAAATTTATAAAAATAAATTAATCGGATTTAGTTTAAAATGTGCATACAACGGATAGAGGACAATGCAGAGGCTTTAGTGAGTGAGTCAAGGCAAAGGCAGATTCTGCTTAGTGAACTCCACTGTGTTATAAATATGATTGTTTATGTTTTTATTGGAATAAGTTAGAATTTACAAAGTTATCCTGCATTAGTTAATGTGATTTAAAGTAAAGTTTTCTATTTATTTTTTTAATATTATGAAATCAGACTGAATTAGGATATTACCCAAGGCAACTTTAATGTGAAATAGTTTGGTATATTTATCTTCGGCCCACGACTATCAATGATATTTGTTTTATAGTCCTTCATACAAAGTTTGGGCACCCCTGCACAACACAAAGGCAGACATGTAAAATCAAGATAAAGATAGTTTAGTGATCGCTTACTTGTTTTGAGAATTGCCAAACTTTCCGAAAGGGTCTCCCGCTTTTCCTCCGTCTCCTATGAATATGTACAGATATCCGTCCAACCCAAACAGTAACTGGCCTCCGTTGTGGTTTGATGCCGGCTCATCGACTTCTAGAAGTGTCCTGAGAAACAAAACAAGCAAAATTATTCATTCATACATTTTTCTTCGGCTTAGTCTTTTTATTCATCAGGGGCCCCCACAGCGGAATGAACCGCCAACTTATCCAGCATATGTTTTACCTTCCTGCTGCAACCCAGTACTGGGAAACATCCATACACACTCATTCACACACACACTCACACACTACGGCCAACTTAGTTAATCAGTTCCCCTATAGCGCATGCATTTGGACTGTAGAGGAAACCCACACCAACATGGGGAGAACATGCAAACTCCACACAGAAATGCCAACTGGCCCAGCCGTGACTCAAACCAGTGAATTTCTTGCTGTGAGGTGACACTGCTAACCACTGCGCCACCGTGACGCCAGCACACTGTTATCTCATTTAACATTCCAGACTAAATCCCAAGCTCACCTTTCTGAGGAGTGATCCAGCATATTCATATCCGATTCGGACACGGTGAACTCACTGATGCGGATCTTCTCCTGCCTCTTCACAGACACCGAGTAGTAAACGTAGACCTTTTTCACCTTGGCGAATTGCGGATGCAGAGCGATACAGAGAAATCCACGCTCATCTCCAGCCCACGGCGATGTCAGAACGGCCCGGGTCAGGTTCAGGAACGGCCTGTCAATCCGAGAACCATTCGGCAAGTAAGTCCACACAAAACCCAGCTGCTCGGCCACAAAGAACCGATGCGTACCATCATTAGCGTGCACCATCGCTACTGGATTGCGTAGCCCGTTAGCCACTTCTTCAAGGCATAACTGAATGCACCCTTGCGGATCCGCCTTGACGTCTCCCAGATTTGCGTTGAGCTCATCGTTGGAGAGTACGTTTGGGTAACAGTACTCGGGATCCTTCAGCTCCAGGTATTTGCAGAACTTGCCTCGGTCTTCTTCAATAGCGTAAGTGTTGTTGTTATTGGTCAGGAGGCTGAGCGTGTATCGACAGTGGAGCCAATAATCATTGCAGTAGTTTCCGCAGAGGCCTGGCAGCTCGCGCATCGGTGTGTTTGCGTCTTCTGCGTCGTACAGATGTGCAGAATATGGAGAGCATTCCTGAAAACACAGCAAAAGTATTGACGTTTATGCCAGTAGCATTCAGTTAGCGGATTAATCTGAAAAACAATGCTGAAGTCAGATTATCGGTCACACTTTATTTTGATGGTCTTAAGTTACATTGTATTTACATGCCAACTAATTCTCATTGGATTATAAGTAGACTGTTAGGTTGGGGTTAGGGTTAGTGTAAGTTAATATAAAGCAGGTTGCACACTAGAAGCGCCGCTCGACGCCGCGGCACGGCGCGCACATGACAGTTTAAAGTACCGCGCACATTCGCACGATATTTAACATGATACTAATCAGATGGCGGCGAGGCAGTGGCGCAGTAGGTAGTGCTGTCGCCTCACAGCAAGAAGGTCGCTGGTTCGAACCTCTGCTCAGTTGACATTTCTGTGTGGAGTTTGCATGTTCTCCCTGCCTTCGCGTGGGTTTCCTCCGGGTGCTCCAGTTTCCCCCTACAGTCCAAAGACATGCGGTACAGGTGAATTGGGTAGGCTAAATTGTCCGTAGTGTATAAGTGTGTGTGTGTGAATGTGTGTGAGGATGATTCCCAGAGATGGGTTGCGGCTAATAGGGCATCCGCTGCTTGGAAGCTTGCTGGATGAGTTGGTGGTTCGTTCCGCTGTGGCGACCCCGGATTGATGGAGGGACTAAGCCGACAAGAAAATGAATGAATGAATAATCAGATGGCGCTCTGTGGCATGGCTGAAATATGAACAGCGTCCCGAGTCGTGACTGGGTGCCGCCGACAGCTGCCGACTTGCGGCGCCAGTGTGTGTACCCTGATTGGGGGTATATGGGGTGCTGGGTCAAGGATATAACTAAGGTCGCGGGTTTTGAGGGAGGTGTCGCAGACGCCATCCTCTCTATTCTGCCGCCCTAGGCTCGGATATAACTTAGGCGGCGAGGGGGTGAGGGAGGTGTCGCGGACGTAACTGAGGACGCGGGTGTTGAGGTGTCGCGGATGCCATCCTCTCTATTCTGCCGCCCTAGGCTCGGATATAACTTAGGCGGCGAGGGGGTGAGGGAGGTGTCGCGGACATAACTGAGGATGCGGGTGTTGAGGTGTAGCGGACAGCATCCTCTCTATTCTGCCGCCCTAGGCTCGGATATAACTTAGGCGGCGAGGGGGTGAGGGAGGTGTCGCGGACGTAACTGAGGACGCGGGTGTTGAGGTGTCGCGGATGCCATCCTCTCTATTCTGCCGCCCTAGGCTCGGATATAACTTAGGCGGCGAGGGGGTGAGGGAGGTGTCGCGGACGTAACTGAGGACGCGGGTGTTGAGGTGTCGCGGATGCCATCCTCTCTATTCTGCCGCCCTAGGCTCAGATATAACTTAGGCGGCGAGGGGGTGAGGGAGGTGTCGCGGACATAACTGAGGATGCGGGTGTTGAGGTGTAGCGGACAGCATCCTCTCTATTCTGCCGCCCTAGGCTCGGATATAACTTAGGCGGCGAGGGGGTGAGGGAGGTGTCGTAGACATAACTGAGGACGCGGGTGTTGAGGTGTCGCGGACGCCGCCCTCTCTATTCTGCCGCTCTAGGCAGTCGCCTAGGTCGCCTCTATGGGCGTGGCACGTTGCTGAGCGGCGCTACTGGTGTGCAACCTGCTCAAGTTTCATATAGTCTGATAAATGTCTATTGAAGGAGCAGTTTCAACTGATATTAAGCAGACAGCCTACTAATACTCAAGTGGACCATCAAAATAAAGTGTGACCAGATATTCTGCTTTGAAAATGTGCGTTGCGTGCTGGAATGTCTGTCTTTTATCTGCGCAATGCCAGTTTAGCCAATTATATTTCAGCACCCTGGGTTGCCTTGGTGTGATTCATCCAGTCAGAAAGGCTCTGAAAGCATGCGTCCGTAACCAAAATGCCACCTCTGGTGGACAGTAGCAGCCTCCGAAATGAGACGCAGATTCAGAGTTTCACATGAGGTGGTTAATGATTAGCAAATAACATAAATATTAGGAGCGTAAACATTAGGTGAGCAGGTCACATTGTAACCACGTGTCCTAACAACACGCTACGTGATGATAAGTGCAGTGATGAGCAATTTGGCACCAGACGAAACACCACAGACATGTAAACACAGCCATTCAGAAGCACAGAATAGTGCACTCACTGCACTTCAACGAAAAGGTAAGGTTTATAATCTATTTAATACATATTAAACCTCTTTAACATTATTAAATGTAGATGCTATAGGGTTTGCACTGAAGTTCAAATGGTTTACTTTATTTTCCAGATTTCCAGTTTAAACCCACGCCAACACGTGGAGAACATACAAACTCCACACAGAAATGGCAACTGACCCAGCCAGGACTCAAACCAGCGACCTTCTGTGCGGCCACTATTTTTAAGAACCTATAATTTTAAGAGTGCATGTCTGAGCTGAGAGAAAAAGGATCCAGAAAAAGAACGAGCGTCATGTCATGTCATTGGCCTATTAACACTGACTTGCTGCTAACATCAATAAACCTCGAGTTAACCCTGTGTTTGCACATTCATCTGACACTTATTTGCTGTTTAAGGCTTTTCTCCTCTCCTCACAGTCTGGCAAACGTGGCGTTCTGCACGTCTTCTCTGCCGCCGGGATCCCGGGACTCAGTCCAGCAGCTGGTGATGGTGGTTCGGGCTATAAATACAGTAACTCTTTGACGTTTTAGGCTAACCGAACCCTCATTATGTCCCAGCCACAACACCACACCCCTCAGCATTGGCAAAGACACTGCCAGCTCAGACTGGAACACATCTGAGATTACTATAATGACGTTAAACAAATAATTAAGCTCAAAGTGGTTTGTATCGATGGGGAAACTCGCTCATTACACATCACAGACATTGTAATGGAGCCAGTGTGTGGGCGAATGGTGTTTTGGGTCTCTCTAATGATGTTTGATTGCAAATAAAGCTACATATAAACCTTCCAAGGGGGTTATGGGGTGTAAATGAGTCCAGCGTTTTATACACAACACACAAGGTTATGTAATATAATGTTAGCATAGAGAAGAAAGTGGCGGACATGAGTGGGATACCATATGGAAATCTAATATATGGCCATATCTCACCGGCCACTTTATTAGGTACACCTTACTAGTACTGGGTTAGATCCACTTTTGCCTTCAGAACTGCCTTAATCCTTCCGTTCAACAAGCTACTGGAAATATTCCTCAGAGATTTTGCTCTATATTGACATGATAGCATCGGCACCCGGTGTGGTCTTCTGCTGCTGTAGCCCATCCGCCTCAAGGTTGGACGTGTTGTGTGTTCAGAGATGCTCTTCTGCAGAGCTCGGTTGTAACGAGTGCTTATTTGAGTTACTGTTGCCTTTCTATCAGCTGGAACCAGTCTGGCCATTCTCCTCTGACCTCTGGCATCAACAAGGCATTTGTGCCCACAGAACTGCCGCTCACTGGATATTTCCTCTTTATCTGACTATTCTCTGTAAACCCTAGAGATGGTCATGCATGAAAATCCCAGTAGATCAGCAGTTTCTGAAATACTCAGAGCAGCCCGTCTGGCAGCAACAACCATGCCACGTTCAAATTCTCTTAAATCCCCTTTCTGATGCTCGCTTTGAACTGCAGCAGATCGTCTTGACCATGTCTGCATGCCTAAATGCATTGAGCTGCTGACATGTGATTGGCTGATTAGAAATTTGCGTTGAGAAACAGTTGGACAGGTGTACCTAATAAAGTGGCCGGTGAGTGTATATTCCGTTTCTAGTGGTTGAAAATTTTATATGCAACTGGCCATTTATGCAACATTATGAAATTAATGTTGCATGTATGAAATTTTATCCGTGTGAAATCCAAACATGAACTAGTAAGTCATGCATGTAATTAGCATATGTTGCCATATATCAGATTTCTACAGGTTTCATTTCATGATGTATGAACACAAACATTCAATATATCAGCCCTAAGAGATTAATAAAACATGTAAACTCTTAAAAATAAAATCTAACACTGTTTTTAATTTAAAAATTGATGCATGACATGTTATTTAAAGTGAAAATGCTTCCCACATAGCAAAATTTCTCTGGCCCAGCTCTGGCCCACACAATCAGGTTTTGCTTGGCCCACATGCCGCTGTGAATTACGGTACATGACTGGACCAAATCTGGCTTCCAGACAAGGGCCAAACACGGACCATATCTGGGCCAAGTCTCAGCCAAGTTAATAACTCATAACTGGGCCTGAACTGGGCCAGTAAGGTTGGTGTGTCACGATTGCAATGAAATTAATAAACCTATGAAGCGTTGCGCTTTAGGCACACTATGGGCCTTGTTTTTTCTCAGTGACCTGATTGGTAGAATTGATTTATTTAATCAAAAATTATTTTTATGTATTTTAAATGTGGGTCAAGACTGGCCAAACTCACGTGGCCCACAATCAATTTTTAAAATCTGGGCCAAATACTACGTCTTACATCTGGCCCAAATCTTGTGTGTCGCATTATAGACGGTGCCACCTCTGCCAAACCCAGGCCATGGTTGGCCCACATGCTGTATGCCAGTGCCGGATGAATGCCTGATGTCCCAGCTTTATGCCAAATCTGGGCCAGAATTCTTTGCTACTAGGGTTCTTTACGTGCAATATAAATAAATCGTTCTTCTATGGTTGGCGCTCCACTTCTTTAACTCTCTATCTCATTCTGCTTCATGGATATGCTGAGTTAAGCTTTAGTCTGAGCTATTGTTCTGCAGGCAGGATTACAGTAAGCATCACTGATCTCGACGCCAAGTGTTTTACAAACAATGCTGGGAAAAGCACCAATCCCCATGCTCTCGCTTCTTCAGATCTACTGTATGTTTTTGTCCTCCTGATGCTATTGTGCGTTCTTGTCCAGTCATGGTGTCTCGCGTATAATTGTGTTTAAGTGTTTGTGTAATTATGAGACTCTGTAGGCAATAGATTTCCCTGAGCGGATGCTCTCCGCAGGCCTTCACTCGTCATTTGCTTCACTCGATTGGCTCTTAAATCTCATTAGTGTGTGTGTTTGTGCTCATCATCATTCATTGGCAGTTATGAGTTTATAGCTCTGCCTTCAAGATTTTCTCTGTTAGCACTGCGGCCTCACAGCCAGAAGGTCTCTGGTTCGAGTCTCGGCTGGGCCATCTGGCATTTCTGTGTTGAGTCTGCATGTTGCATGTCTAACCAGTGACCTTCTTGCTGCGAGGCCACAGTGCTAACCACTGAGCCACCGTGCCACCCCACTATGAATATTTAGTAGTGTTATTCTCTATTTGCTCCCCTGTTGTTTACTCAGGAACATGAGACATCTTATATGCCTGGTTAAGAAGGAGGCATCCAATAATATCCAGCTGGAGAACACAAGCAGCTCCCTGTCTTTTCGGAAAAATGATCCGACAAAGACCATCATTGAGTTCTAAGCAGTCCAATAAATCAGGTGCTCCCTTTGCTAACCTCAATCCCACTGCAATCTCTAAACCATATGGGAAACCCTCGCCATTTAATCCCGGCAACCTTCAAGTTAATATGACCGTAATAGGAGACATTCATTTTTTGTTGATCTCAAAAACTGAGATCATAGTTTGTTCCTGCATATCACGATTCAGATAAAGACAGCTATTAATGGAGCATTTTAATGTGTTGCTGTACTGTTATTTTGGCTTGCTTCAGTTGATAATGTGCAAATTTATTTTTGATTACCATAGCTCGCGATATCATACATCTAAACTGCCTTCCTTGCCTTAAAAAATAGCTCATAATCGGTGCAGAAATCCTCCAGACTTCCTAAAACAAAGCCAAAACAAAAGTGATGCAACTCATGCTATGATGTCACTTCCTCTGTACTTTAAGCACTGAGGTGCAGATTACAAAATATTATGATTTATAAACACACAATAAAGATTTGAGTTAATATAAATAATGCATACATGTTTATGAAAGGATTTATGTTGGTGCTTTTTTAGTATAATTATGCAATCAATAAAATATAAATCAGTATTAAATAAGCAAATGTACTTATATCTTTCATCTTTACTTTCATCTTAATACTAGTATCTTGAAGAATATCTAGTGAAATATTATGTGCTAATATTATGCTATTAAAACTATCATGTTTAGAAATGTATTGAAAAAAGATGAACAAAAATTGGGGAAAAAACAAACAGGGGGGCTGATAACTCTAACTTCAACTGTATATTTATATGTTAACACATAAGCCTCAGCATGCGCAGACAATAATATAATTTTTAAATCTGTAAATATAATTGAATAATCCTGTCTATTTATGTATGTTATGTATATTTTGTGTTATATATAAATGATATATTAAATATGGAATCTAATTGAGAAATTCTTGCTATGCTTCAATTATATGCTGTTTAACAAATATACAACAATAAATATATTTAAATTAATAAGCTAATTAGCTGTTTTGTGTGTGTGTGTGTGTGTGTGTGTGTGTGTATACATAAAAATAAATTGTTATTTGTTTAATATTTTGTTAGTAAATACAAATATACACTGTCCAAAAATATATATGACAAAAAGTCATGAAAGCAAATGTTTTTGTTACTTTAGATAATATTAATCTATTAATCGAAATTTATTTAGTTTAACTAGCAGTATGTTTTTCCTTTACAGTGTTTTTTCCAAATATATATATATATATATATATATTTTTGTATACAACTAATTGCATTTAATAATTGCTCAGCAATTATATTATATTATATTATATTATATTATATTATATTATATTATATTATATTATATTATATTATCCTATATTAAACATTTTTATATTATATTACATTTTTTATATTATATAATTTTTTATATTATATTATATAATATTACATAACATTATATTATATTAAAAATTTCTATATTATATTATATTATATTACATTAAATTATCCTATATTAAACATTTTTATATTACCTTTTTATATTATATTACGTAATTTTTAAATATTATATTATATTATATAACATTATATTATATTACAATTTTTTATATTATATTATATTATATTATGTTATATTAAACATTTTTATATTATATATTATATTATATTAAACATTATTATATTATATTATATTATATTATATTATATTATATTATATTATACATATCTATATTATATTATATTATATAACATTATATTATATTATATTTTATTATATTTTATTAAATTTTTTAAATAATATTATGTTACATTTTTTAAATATTATATTATATTATATTTCATTAAATTATATTACATTTTTTATTATTATTACATTATATTATAGCTTGTTTAAACTACTTATTTATAATGTTTGAAACAAGTTTTTAATGACAACCTAAATTTGTAAAAACGATTTGGTTAACTTAATCCATTTGTGCTGGGACAACATGCAGGAATAGTCCCAGCATTTTTACAGTGTATTTTACATTACAGTATCATTTCTACTATGTCTTGATGATTTAAAGGCCCAGTAACCCCTGACCCGAGAGCCTCACCTGGCACAGTATACTGCGGATGTATTTCCCACAGGCCGTGAATCCCGTGTGATCGAAGTAATCCATGATGTGGTGGAAGCGGCGGGAGATCTGCTGGTCCCGCTCCAGATCACAGCACCCAAACTTGGCATATTCCTTGCAAAAGAGCAGGGGTTCGAGTGGCTGGAATGGGGGCTTGTAGTCCAGGCACTGCGGGTGGGCTTCACCCTGTGGAGGAGAGAGCAGGAGCAGCAGTACACACGTGCACAGAGTCAGGCCGCGCATACTGCAGCACAGACCATCACACACACACTGCACACACCAGGCCCACTCATTCAGCACACACACACAAACACTGCTCTGCTCTATTCCCTCCTTCTCTCTCTCTATCTCTCTCACGCACACACATACTCTCACACTCTCTCTATACATGTTTCCTCCTGGTCTCTCTCCCACAGACACTTTCTCTCTTTCTCTCTCGCACACACACTCTCTGCCTTCTTCTTTTCCCTCGCTTTTTCTGTCTTCAGCTCATACATTCCTTATTGCATCAGACGCTCTCAGCTTCCCTCCCCCGTCAACACGCGCGCACACACACACACACACACACACACACACACACACACACAAAAGACAGACAGACAGACAGACAGACAGACAGACAGACAGACAGACAGACAGACAGACAGACAGACAGACAGACAGATAGATAGATAGATAGATAGATAGATAGATAGATAGATAGATAGATAGATAGATAGATAGATAGATAGATAGATAGATAGATAGATAGATAGATAGATAGATAGATAGAAAAAAAGTAAAATAGACAGAAAGAAAGAAAGAAAGAAAGAAAGAAAGAAAGAAAGAAAGACGGACAGGCAGACAGACAGATAGATAGATAGACAGAGAGACAGAGAGATAGATAGATAGATAGATAGATAGATAGATAGATAGATAGATAGATAGATAGATAGATAGATAGATAGATAGATAGATAGATAGATAGATAGATAGATAGATAGATAGATAGATAGATAGATAGATAGAAAAAAGTAAAATAGACAGAAAGAAAGAAAGAAAGAAAGAAAGAAAGAAAGAAAGAAAGAAAGAAAGACAGACAGACAGACAGACAGACAGACAGATAGATGGACAGATAGATAAAAGAAAGAAAGAAGCTTAAGCTTTTTATTTATATATATATATTTATATATATTTATTTATATATATATATATATATATATATATATATATATATATAAAATCAAAGCATTATCCCAAAATATGTGTCAATAATAGGATTGGTTAGCAAAAATCATTCTGCTAGCTGAAACAGAGAGAAAGCTATGGCTAAATAAAGACTCAAAATCGCTCCAGAGTGGATGTACACATCCCTAGCAGCACATACAGTCAGGGTTAAGCAATAGCAACAGTTCAATATCTCTATTGTGAAACAAGACTTAAAGAGCAGCCCCTGCAGGCATCTGAACATTACACCGCAGTGCTTTCCTCTGTGCGTCTGCTCTATATGTGACTCTCATCTGGTTTTGATTGTATGTCTACAGCCATGAGGAGCATCTGTTCCCTCACGTAAGCACAGATCGACCACATCTCTTTCACCACATCAGCGCTGTGTTCTCAATCATACAATCAGCTTCAAACACTGCTGAAAGCTTGATTTGACTGAAGGATAAATGTTTGGTTGGTGAAGCTCTGATCGGTGTGTTTGAGGTTCAGGGTGATTCTTGGTCTATGGAGAGGCACGGCAGTTCATTCTGACTTTATTCTTGGATATCCATATCTCGTAATTCTGACTTTTTGTTCTGAATGCTGACTTTACTACATCTAAGGCCCAATCCCAATTTTACTTTTGTACACCTACTCCTTGCCCTTACAACCGAGGGTTAAGGGGAAGGGTTCAAAATTGACCCCTCAGAATTGGGACAGCACTACAGCCAGTGGCGGAGCTAGAATATTTTACAGGGGGTGGCCACTGCTATTTTAGGGGGTCCACACACACACACACACACACACACACACACACACACACACACACAAAAGTGTTTAGAAAACTAAAATCTATTTCATTAGCAACATATAATTCAAGATATGAAAATGATTTACTCATCATACTTACTTTGTTGTAAGTTAAGTAATGACAGGATTTTATTTTTTTGGTGGAGCATTCCTGAAGCTCAGCTTAAACTCATTGGTTGAAACATATAAATGCCCAGTATATGCCCTGACATGCTGGTGGACCTGAAGTCTGACCACTCTGACTCTGACTAGTCTCAGGTATGGAGCTGCTGTGGGATCCAGTGCAAAGGCTAGGGTATGTTTGAACCTGATCTGCCTCCTGTTTGTGCTTCATTATTAAGAAGTCTGATATTTCACCCTTTCTTTTCATGTTTAATTGTCCCTGTGCAAAAATACTACAGTCTGGTTACATCTTATCCATTTAGAAACACATATATCCTAATTCAAAATATCCATTACCATACCTGCACATCTAAATCAGCATCATAAAATCAAAGTATATGAGGTGGCTAATCCATTTCAAACAAACTTAACTCACAAACAGCTAACCTAACATCACTTTCCCATATTAGCAAAATATTTGAGCAATGTAAATAATACATAATAATAGTACATAATAACTTGCATACATGGAATGTGCATGTAATACTAGGATAGATTAAGTATAGCGTTAACTGTCTAAAGAGCGAACTGATCTCTTTCTCATTAAGTTAACTCATGTCGTCGGTGCCTCATAAACTTACGGATAATAAAGGTTCCTAAGCAAACAAACCTAAGCAAACAAACCGTCTTACTTGAAACAATGATCTTATCTTCGGCTCGTCTTTGATTTAAAAATAGCTTGAGCGCAGTGTTGCCAGATATAGCTGACTGATTACAGCCCAAAAACTATCCAAAACCCGCCAAGATGCAAAAACAAAATCAAAACCGCCCAATCTGGCAACACTGCTTGTGCATTGCACAAAAATCAGTAATCAATAATAATCAGTAAAAATCGGCATGCCGGCAAAAATCAGTAACGTCTTTAGACAAATGAGATGCCAATCAGCTTTAGGAACTGCCAGCAGCCAATTAAATTTTGGGGTGGCACCTGGGGTGGCCAATCAGATGTCAGGGGTGTCCAGTGCCACCCCAGACACCCCTCTGGCTCCGCCACTGACTACAGCACCTGCACACGTCATCATATGTCCTCGCGATCTCCTGCTTCATGTGAGATCAGACGATGGCGACTGCTGTAGTTATTCCAGTTGTGTTATTTTTTGGTATTTATCTTCAGGAGATGGCCATTTTTTTGCTTCTGTGCGGAGTTTGCACATTCTCCCCGTACTCACTTTGGTTTCCCCCAGGCCCCCCCCCCCCCCATCCAAAAACATGCAATTGAGGTAATTGACTAATCCAAATAAGTAAGAAGTTATCTCTTAAGAGCAATCACTATCTGTTCTTTAGCTCCTACAGCAGGGGAGTTCTCGAGATCTACCAGAGCTCAAACTCCCCTCTCTCCTTGCAACGGGAGGGTGCCCAGGGCTCGAGGATCTTTTGAGCTCAAGGCTCTCTCCCGGGACAGCATACCAAACAAGCTTTATAATCAATCATCAGCTAAGCGTGAACTCTTGAAAGTACACACACACACAAAAATGCTTTTCTTCAGTTTTTAGTCTTGTTTAGTCTTGTTTCTAGTCCAAATATCTAAAAATTCTTAAATCAAGAAAACATTTCTAGACAAGCAAAACATGTCTTGTTTTAAGAAATAATATGCCATTTTTTCCCCAAAACAAACACAATAATCTATCAATAGGGTAAGCAAATAATCTTAAATCAAAACGATACCTCTAAGCCCAGAGAAGTCGAAGACACTTCTGGACACTGTTAACATAGGGCTTCCTTTTGGCACAGTATAGTTTTAACTGGCATTTGTGGATGTACTCAACAAAGCAACATTGTTTTTTGGCAAACTGGCGATCCTCGGCCCATCTTTGCTCCTAAAGGACTACACCTTACTTGGATGCTGCTTTTGTACCAAATTATAATTACTGTACAATCACCAATTTAACCATATTTACCTGATTGCTAGCCCTAAATTGCTCCAGTCACAACTGTTTTTGGAGTGTGTTGCAGGTCTGAATGACAAGAAAGGATGAATATTTACAAATAAAATGAAGTCGACCGGACAAAACATGAAATATTTTGTGTTTATATTGTCTGCAATGAAATACAGGTCAAGGTAAGTTTAAAAATCAGCATTTTCCATACTGTCCCAATCTTTTCTGTTTTGGGGTTGTACTAAAATGTCAATAGAAGTCACATATTAAACTGTAGAGTTAAATTTCCAACATGAAAATTCAACAGAGCAGAGATTAACATCCCATAATGCATTTCACAAACGTAAATAAACCAGAAACACAAAATACAGAAACTGTTGATTAATAGATTTTTTTTTACGCTCTTTCAAAAGGATAATAAGATACTTTGAACCATTTCCCACTGTGTCTGAGAGGTAAAAGAGGCCGTTTCTATCATCTGAGAAGGAAGTCCAGTAAACTGAGCCACACCATGTGGAGACCTTCTGGGAAACTGCGTCTAATGGGTAATTTAACAACCGCTGTCAACGTGACTGAGACTCCTAAAGGCAGCAGATATACTGTAGAGAAGACGAACGTGGCAGCAGTGTGTTTTGGCCAACGCTTTAAAGACATCCTGAATAATGAGAAGACTTCTGGATGCTGCTTCACATTTATGTCTGAAGGATGTTTGTACAGTCATGAAAAAGCTTTTTTGAATGCATTTCAATTGGGCTTCCTCTTTGAAGATCCTCTGATTTAAAGCCAGCATTCACTTTCCATACTTATCATACAAATCTGATATATGCTGCATAAGTAGATCCAGGAGGTTGTAATCATAGAATAAAGCCTGACGCACACATTAAAAGAAGTAATGGCAATATTTTAAGTCAACAAATATTATTTATGTGCTTGAACTTATTTTCCAATCTACCAATTTTAGATCAAGACGTGTAAAGAGATGATGCTAACGATCAAAGACTTCAAGGACTACACAAATACACTTCATTAAACATGTATAGACATCACTTACATTATTTAACTGCAGGTTAACTGTTTATATAATAACTTTAACTGTAAAAGCTATTAGTTACAAGTTTATTAGTTAAAGTTAGTAACTAATATTTATGGTAATAAATAACCTTTTGCTGCTTTGAAACAACTATTGTGAAAACGCTATACAAATAAGCTTTAATTGAATTTTAATAAGTTAATAACCACTTTTACTTTACATTTACAAAGTATAACTTAATATTTATTGTCAGTTTGATTGATGTTAGTTGCGATGACTAGAAAAATTTGCTTGATTTAACTAAAAGATGCAAGATTTTTAGCGGAGCACTGTATAACGCTGAAGTTCAT